ATCAAATGCATCAAATTTTACCTTAGATTTAATATTATCATAAATTGAAGTAGATGAAAAACTTTATTTTTAAAATGTTTATTCAAAAATTAACTTTTTCAACTAAGATCAATCATAAGATCTATAGTAAAGAATTCATTGCAATTGTAGATTTATTTCACAAATGACATCATTATTAGAAAGAAAATTCTTGTCTAATAATTATTTATACAAATCACATGAATCTTAACTACTTTATGTCAACATATATTTTGATTTTTTTCAAGTCCATTAAAACATGTCTTTATCAAGATTTATATTTAATATTATTTTTGAGCCAAAAAAATAGCAAGATTTGATAAATGCCATTTTTAAACATTCTTATCTTACATCAAAAGAAAAAGATGTAACTTTTAATCAACAATAAATGATTATTTTAAAGCCAAAGTAATTTCATCTTTAAGCAATGAAATCAATTTTGACTATTGATTCAATCTTTTTTAATCAAGTCCAATCAAATATATCCTTGGATTTTTTTATTTATAATATTAAAAATAATTCTTCTATTTCTCATAATACTTTCAAATTTCAATTCAAAAACAATCTATTCTATTTTAAAGAATACATATGTGTTTCAAAAGGTGAAGCTTAATTTCAAGTTCTTCAAGTTTTTCATAACTTTATAATTGTAAGATATTTTAAATATAACAAGGTATTAGAATTAATCTCAAGATATTTTTAGTAGCATCAAATGTAGAAGGCAATTAAAGACTTTATATAATCATGTAATGTTTATTCAAGAACAAAAATTACTTATCAGTGATCTTATAATTGTTTTTAACCACTTCTTATACCAACACAACTATGGTCTTTTTTTCTATAGATTTTATCATAGATCTTTTAATCATAAGTTTTTATAATTCTATATTTATAATATTAGATTATTTTTATTGAGATAGTTTATTTTCTATTATCTACAAAATCTATCATATATATATATATATATATATATATATATATATTATATTATTAAAGAATATTATATTAAATAAAGAGATTCACTTTATATTAAATTTTTAAAAAATTCTTTTCAAGATATTAAGAGTGGTCATAAAACTATCATCAAATTTATATCCTCAAATTAATAGACAAATAGAATGAGTGAATTAAGTATTGGAGCAATTTCTAAGATGCACCATCAACTAACATCATGATGATTTTTAAATCTTTTTTCTATTAGCAAAGTTTGATTACAATAATCCAATACATTCTTCTATTCAAAAATCACCATTTTGTATAAACTATGGTTATCGTCTTAGATATGGTATTTTTTATTTTTTCAAAGTTAATTATTTTACAATAGAAGATCTGATAAATTACTTATAAAAACTGCATGTAACAATAAAAATACAACTAAAGAAATCTCAAAAACAACAAAACATCACGATACGTATTTATTGCAAAGATTATCCTCAATTTTACATTGGTGATATGGTATTGTTATTGTATGATAATCTCAAGACTATCCTCTCTTGTAACAAGTTGGATTATTATAGATTGTAACTATTTCTTATTTGCAACCAAATCAATCTAATTGCATTTTATTTATACCTACCAAAGAATATAAAGATCCATCCTATATTTTATATATTTCTTCTTGAGCCATATAAGATACTGGATATATATATATATATATATATATATATATAATAAAATAAAAACAAATACCACATTTTCATTTTAAAATGGATAATAATTAAGAATAAAGGATGGAAGAGGTCTAAGATTTAAGGTGGCACCAAAATAGATTCAAATTTCTTGTACATTGGTGTCAATATGATAATAGTGAATATACATAGGAGCCATCAAATAATTGTACAAATGTAGTAGAAAAGGTTAATATGTTTTATTGAAAATATCCATCAAAATCAATATAAAAAATCAAAAAAATCTTTAATATAAAATAAAGCAAGTTTAATGGAAATTTCATTCTATTTTTTATCTTTGTTTGTTATTTCTTTGTATTTGTAGTGCTATTTTTTTTTTTTACTATTTTATTTAAAAGATTTTTTTTGAATTAAAATTTGAAAGTATTATGAGATTTAAAAGAATGTTTTTATATTATAAATAAGAAGATCTAAGGACATATTTGATTAAACTTGATTAAGAAAGGTTGAATCAATACTCAAAATTGATTTCATTACTTAAAGATGAAATTACTTTTGCTTTAAAATAATCATTTATTGTTGATTAAAAGTTACATCTTTTTCTTTTGATGCAAGATAGGAATGTTTAGAAATGGCATTTGTCAAATCTTGTTGTTTTTTTGGTCCAAAAATAATTTTTAAAATAGAATAGTAAAAAGTTTAAACAATCACCTTGATAGTAGTTGATAGTACATCTTAGAAATTGCTCCAATACTTAATTCACTCATTCTATTTGTCTATTAATTTGAGGATAAAAATTTGATGATAATTTTATGACCACTTTCAATATCTTAAAAAGAATTTTTTTAAAATTTAATATAAAGTAAATTTCTTTATTTAATATAATATTCTTTAATAATATATAATAGTAATATATATATATATATATATATATATGTGATAGATTTTGTAGATAATAGAAAATAAACTATCTTAATAAAAATAATCTACTATTATAAATATAGAATTATAAAAACTTATGATTAAAAGATCTATGTTAAAATCTATAGAAAAAAAGACCATAGTTGTGTTGGTATAAGAAGTGGTTAAAAAAAATTATAAGATCAATAATAAGTAATTTTTGTTTTTAAATAAACATCACATGATTATATAAAGTCTTTAATTGCCTTCTACATTTGACACTACTAAAAATCTCTTGACATTAACTCTAATGCCTTGTTATATTTAAAATATCTTACAATTATAAAGTTATGAAAAACTTGAAGAACTTATAATTAAGCATCACTTTTTAGAACACATATGTGTTCTGTAAAATAGAATAGTAAAAAAAAATTCAAGCAATCTAAGCATATGATCTTTTATTATTCAAATCACATTAAAGTTATAAAATCTTACATGATTTATAAATTTCCATTTTTGAAGGTCATAAATTAGGTAGAATATATTTATATAGAAAAATATCATATATATCCTTAAAATATATTGAAATATCAAAAATATCAATGTATTTTTTATAATAGCAAATCTTTCTTTCACTTTTGTGATAATATCAAATCAGTTCTTCAACCTAATAAGATATCACAACTATTCTTTTTTAAATGCACATGGCTCCAACTTGCTTGCTACAAAGAAGTCAACATGCCTTCTTCAACATTGTTTAGCATATAAATTTTTTTTAAAGCTCTTATTTCAGATTATGAGTCAAACAAGCTGCTTAGTCTTCTAATGGTAAACATTTATCCCACTTTTACAAAACACAATTTGATACATTGGATGCATAAGTCTCAATCCTTGCTTCTCACATACCATGGCTCTCAATGTTAATACCACCTTAATATACACCCATGACAAGAATCCGTATCTTAAAACCTAATAACACACAACAAAACATGCATTTTGAAAAAAAAATCGAAATAGTGTCAACCTGTTTTTTTTTTTTTTTTTTTTTTTTTTTTAATATAACTAAAATTTGCATCCAACCTTTTTTTACTATCGCAAAAGTATGTACCAAAAAGTTATATTAAAAACTAGAGCTTGAATTTTTGTTAGTCTTTAATATCCTTATAGACACAAAAATTATAAATGTAATGTAGCATTGCATCAAATTGAGACTCATGGATTTGTAAATCACAATCACAGCAATGTAATTTTGCATTGAGAAGTCACTAAAGTAATCTTACATGAGAAACTAGAATTAGTGGTTGTCTTGTAATGTTGAATAGAGCAATTAATCTTTTAAGAAGTTTCTTGTAGCATGATTTCTTAAAAAAGAGATCCGGAACTATGTCCCATAATTATTTTTTTCTAGTAATCTATGGAATGTGGAATTATATTAGAAAGCTCCATCAAACCATCTACCAAATGGTAAAGACATAAATCCAACAAATTTTACAAGATCTATGATACTATTTGTTGATTGTTGGTTACTTGAAAGCTCTACCTCTTTCTTATCTTCCAAATGCTTCTCTTAGACCACCTTTGCCACAAGTTGGGAAAAATTAAGGCTAACCATGTTCCAATTTTTTTCCAAAATGCATCTTTTATTGTGTGTTGTAAAGTTTTAAGACATGGGTTCTTTTCATATATATATATTGAGGTGGTATTAATGTCAAGAGCCATGGCATGTGGCAAGTGGTGGTTGAGACTTGTACTCTCAACATATCAAATTGTGTTTTATAAGAGTAGGACATATGCAAACTCTTTGGAAGTCCAACAGCTTGTTTGACCTAGAATATGAAGCAAGGGCTTTTATAAAATTTTATGTGCCAAAAAGTATTGAAGAAGGCTTGCCAATTTCTTTGCAATAGGCAAATTGAGCCCTATTTGCACTTAAAAAAGAATAGTTGTGATATCTTATTAAGTTAAAGGATAGATTTTATATTATTACAAAAGTGAGGAATAGATTTGCTATTGTCAAGAATGCATGGATATTTGTGATATTTCAACATATTATAGAAGTATATATATATATTTTATAAATTTTTATAGAACCATTACTTTTCAAAGTGGACTTATACATACAATGATCCTTTTTCTTTTGATGCAGAGATGTAATTTATATTTATATATATCTATAGTTTTGGTAACGGAAATGAAGCATCGGATGGGATCACAGTTCCGTTGGAGTTCAGATGGACGGCGGAGGAAACGAGGCAGGACGCCCCCGTCCCGTTGGCTAGCGGGCGGCTCGGGGGGATGCGAAGTGGGCGGATGAATCCTTTTATCCGGAATGTTTCTGTTTTGTTTGTTTTTTTTTTTTTTTTTTTTTTTTTTTTCTTTTTGAAGGTGATCCCCCGTCTCACACACTGTCCCTGGATTCTAGATTGTGGCTGTGCCCATCGGGCCATGCAAATTCAGTCCGGGAATCCGCCCCGCTGTCCATCCAGTGGAGCCCTGCTGTCACCTTCGCAACACGAGTCCAGTGTTGGGTCCTTCTCTGCGCTCAATTTCTTTTGCTAAAATTATTCCAACATTTGGTCACCAGCAGATTGTTAGATATATATACATATATATATATATATATATATATATGTTCTAGGAGAATTTGTGACGATTTCGAAACCCTGCGGTCCAGTTGTCGAGGTGGGTCTTCATGGTTGCAGAGGAATGTGGAGATCTAGCAGCGATTTGAGGGCGGGAGGTTTTGCGCTTCCACGAGGTTTTGTGGGTCGTGGTGGGAGAGGTTGCATGGCAATAGCCGTGGGAGTTGCTCCCTTCGGAGCCCTTGCCACAGTTCCAGCTGCTGGTTCTGTTCTGGGGAGAAGCATTAGAGCCAGGAAACCCGCCCGCGTGACGACTTCGTTGCGGCCATCGTGTCATGAACTAGCTTTGCCCTCATCGATGTCGCATCAGCGCTCGAGATCTGGTCAGAGTCCCGCTTTTACTATCTTCTGCGTTGATTGGGAGTTGAGGATTGTGATTGTATTTGCATTTGCATCGTAGGTCAAGAGCCCTGCTTTGAATTGTTGATTGAGAATTGAAGCTTCTTCCAAATAGCTAAACGCGATGTTGGATTCTGTCGTCGTAGGCCGAGTGACGGATTACTTAAAAAGTTGAATCTTTTTAATTCTATTATGCCCGATTGGCTGTGGGGCTTGTTTCGATTCCAATGGGTAATAATAATTCGACTTGTAAGTAGATTACAACTCCACAGGTGGTGATTTGTAGGCGAGGTATCCGTTTTCGGCAAGCGTTTGCCATGAATCTGTTTTAGGTCATGAATGAAACACATCAATCAGACAGTGTTTCCGAAGCAACTTTGATCGAGCTAGAAAGTTGAGCTCCATCATGAGCAGACAAGCACCGTCCACATTTGGCAGAGACATTTTAGAGTCTGAATTTCGTAAAGCATACACTGAATGGTGCATTGATGCTGTGCTTGTGTAGCTACCTCGGCGTAGCTCTGCACCATGCTCAATCCACCTTTATGATAATGAATGATTAATTGCAGGAACAGTTCAAATGCTGTGAGATCATTGATTGGTCAAGTGCGTGTACTCTTTTGCACCTCTCGTTTTCCGTCTAAGTGGTTTTATTCTAAGTTTTACGAAGTAGACAAGGATGTGAATATCTTTACATGTGCAAGTCACTTCGATTAAATTGTTATTAGTTTGGATTGCTTGTTGCAGACCCATTTAGAGTCGCGGCAGATGGTAGCGGCCGTGGTCTTGAGGATGGAACCACTACATCTACCGTTGACAAAGAAGCTGAGAAGACTGAAGTGGACAGGCTTATGGAGGGGCTCTCGTTTGGCCAGCTATGCGACGAGTTCGAGTGCATTAGCAGTCCTGCTGTAGAAAAAACAGCACGGCAGCTCGTTAAAGACATTATGGACCTTCGAGAGGGCCGGAGATCACTGTCAAGTTTTGGAGTTAATGTGAAATATAAGGTACGAGTATTTTACCACTGCTCATTACATGTAGTAAGGTTTCAGTTGACGAATCGATCATGTTTTTGTGTTTACTCGCATGCTAATTTTGGATGACACTGAAGTTTGTGGCATGGACTTCTACAGGACCCTCTTCGATCATTTAAAGGACGAGACAAATACAGGAGTGCAAACTGGATTAGTACTGCCTTGGAGAAACCCTCAGTGGTATGTTGTTAATTTAACCGAATTTCTTTTTTCTCTTCGCTGATTGTTTTTTGACATGCATTGATTGATGAGTTCTTTCTGGCTTTCCAATCACAGGCGACTATGATTTGCTTTTAGTAATGGACTGTATGGAGTTGTTTTTAAGATTTTACTCCTGAGATTTCTGTCGGATTGTGCACCATGTTGTGACGAACGATTAACTTCAGCTTTCTTCTGGCCCAGGCAGTGCGTGAGATGAAGATGCTGTCCACAAGCGTACTCAACATCAAGTGGACCTTGACAGGGACACCAAAGCTTCCACCAGCGTCTGCTCTGGGTGGTAAAGTCGTGTTAGCTGTGAATTCAACCTTCACAATGAACCAGATCAGTGGGCAGGTTGTCTTGCATGAAGATCAGTGGGACTTGTCAGCCTCGGATCCAGCTGCACAAGCTTACTTCTGGACGACGCGACTGGCCTTCTCAGCCGTAGAGGGAGGCAAAAATCTAGCAGATGGTGTTCAAGGAATGGCCAAGCAACTGGATAAAGGCCAAGAAAACAATTCTATTTATCCGGATCCATCGGGCGACCCAAGAAAAGTAAGCCCTAATATTCGCTTAATTCTGCGTCCACTTATGATCATGTAATTTGCAATCTTCAACTACTCTCAGAACTGTCCTGGTGTGCATTTTTGGGATATGTTGTATCATACGATAGCTTACACTCTTGTGAAGCATGGAGCAGTTAACAGTGTTCAACTGTGAATTTTAATTTTTGTGCAGTTTTTTCAAATGGAAGACAACGGAAAGGATCTTTACCAAATTGGCTTAGTGATAGCACTGATATACTTATTAGTGCAGTTTCTGAGATTAACTATCTGAACATTCGGATGTATCTTCAAAAGCCTAACCATGTATTTTAGTGTAATTGCATGATGGTCGCAGAATGTAGATAGGATGTCATCTACCGGAACCCTCCTCTTATGGTCGATTGTTTTGGAGAAGACCAGCTTGTACGTTGATTGAAATTGACTCTGACCACTGCTTCATGAATAGTGATGAAGCTTGTGTTTGTTCTCGTTTCTATTTTGAAGAAATTATTTTTTATATAAATGCCATTCAAATTTTGACCGCAGCATCAGCTATATCCGTTTTACGAGTTGCAACCTCGTCGTAGCAATATTTTGAGGTGCAGACCGTTGAGTCTTCTTCAGTCGAATGCTAATCGGTATTGTATAAATTCTGCGCTTACCTTCGTAAAAACTTGCTCTGGTGCACTGTGCGGTTCGAAAACACGTCCGGTTAAAACTCAGCACAGCTAGCAATTGAACAATGCATCTGTGTCTGCGAAATCTCTCACTCATGAACTACTCTACACTCGAGTATTATTATTGTGCGAATGAATGATTTACTGTATTCTGTAAAGAAAAATGCAACACCCATGGTATTTAATAAACGCTCAAATTCACCAGCCTCTGTCCACAACTTGGCTTGCAAGTACCCACATCAGTCCACATCCACCTCAAAAGCGTAAAGAGTAACCAATCTAATGAAATCCAAATGGTATCACACTCAGCACTGGTCTATATCCATTGGGACATGTGTAAGGAACAAACATATAAACTATTTCGAAGTAACATAAGAAGAGGAAGAAGTAATCCGCAATCGAAAGATTCAGTTCCGTAGCATAACACCCAACGAAATTGGTCAAGACCTTGTTTTCGTGTTGTGGAATTTTGAGGGATTCGTGCCCTATTTGGCGCGCCACGCGTGATCCTCTGACTACACACTGTTGTCCTCTTCAAACGACACATGAGCGACAGTTCCGTCATTGCGCCGAAGGATTCTTCGTCACTGTACTGTGCACATGCAAAACGACAACTGTGATCCATCATGCCTTCGATGCAATCCAGTGATGCATGACAAGACACCACGCGATCTTTGCAGACTTCTATCGTTTATTTCTCGAACGATGCGAGTTGTAGAACGCGCGGAACTGATCACCCCACATTCCTAAGAAAACTCGATGCACTGTGATGATACTTGTGACTGCTTAGGAAGTTCCACTGCGGTCGTTTCTCGGAAGATTGGGTAGCAGACATTGGAGGGAGGGGCTGTAACAGTAGGAAAGCATGGCTAATCGGTACTTCCCCAACACTATGCCAGATTATTCATTGAGTTTGGAAGGCTCAGAAGCGGATTATTCAGTGATGGATCCTGACACGCTGCTGGAGGTCGCCATGTCCATCAAAGATGAGGTAAATCGCTCTTCTTCTTATAATTTTGTTCCATTTCTTATTGCTCTTGTCTACAGTTCCCCTTGATGTGTTGTGTATCCCACCTTCTGGCTCTTATCGGCTTTTTAAAGGGAAACGAGAATTACAACTATCAGCAATTGACACTTCGCAGAACTTTAATTTTGATGTTGGTGCTATGTTTCTTCTCCTTTCTCGATCGTCAGATATGCTCTGCACTTCGATCCCTGCTGGATTAGTCTTCTTTAATATATCTGCAGAAATAGCACTTCGTTGTATTGGTTGAGGATATTGTGCTGGAGGAAGGAGTTCATCTTTTTGTAACAATTTGGGTTTTCTTTTTTGCTTTGGCATGTTGCAGGTGATACAAGCAACATGGATACGAAAAGGCCGAAGGGTTTCTGACCCCATTCTCTACACAGGGGTGTTGGGAACAGCTTTTCTGTGCTTTAAGGCATATCAAATTACAGGAAGCAAAGAGGATCTCACACTCTGCAGCGAGATCGTTGATAGTTGTACCGTTGCCGCTAAATCTTTGCACAAGTATGCTTGCCTCCTGTAGATCTTGTTCTTCACTTGATTGTGATATTGGGAGACTGATCGGTCCATTTTCTACACATGTAATGTACCTTAACTCACATCTGCTAGGGGAGGTCGTATTTTCGACAATCCGATCTCCTTTTTAGTAATATTTATTTCAGTGGTAGAGACCTCGTATCTTATTAGTGCATGCCTTTCGATGACTCTGATGTTGCGTTGACGAATCACAAACAGATACGTCACTTTTTTATGTGGGCAGCCAGGCATATATGCCTTAGGAGCAGCAGCGGCAAAAAGCAGCGGGGATGAGCAAAGTCTTCATCGATATCTTCAGCTTTTCCATAAGGTGACCTCTTTTTTTGCCCAAGGGCTGAGGTAGTCGGTGGTAGATTTGTTTCTTCGGGCTGTTGAATTGGATATGAATGATGGGTTTCTAAATTATGTCTCATGATGAATCTCGAGTTCAACCAGCAAAATGGCCTGATAAGGACTTCATGTGCCTATCTCATCATGCGTGTTTCCAAGTGTTGACAAGTTTAAAATAAGACATTATTGGAGCAAATGTTGGCTTGGTCGACTGGTTAAGTGCACAGGTGTATGGGACTGACATGCTTCACTATTTTTCAGGTTTCCAAAAACCAAACTCTTGCTGTGGGAGCGGAAGAGGGTGGTATGGGAATGCCTTACGAACTTTTATATGGACGTGCGGGGTTCTTATGGGCTGCTCTCTTTGTCAACAAGCATGTCGGCGAGGGGACCATTCCTTCGAGCACTACGGTTGATTTCACAATCTATTATGCCCTTTGTTTTGAACTTGAGCTAGGAAGCTTTGCATCCAAGAGTTTGTTGTAACTGTATCTTTGACTTGTGATTAAAATGCACATATCGCTGAAAGCATCCTCTAAAGCTGGTTGAAGCATTTTAAAGTTCAAATTTACTGGTTGCAGTTGCTAAAGACGTCATATTAATTTACACTGAATCCTCTGCGTCTTTCTAACAGGGTCCCATAGTTGATGCGATTTTAGCTGGCGGACGAGCTGGAGCTTCACAAACACAGTCTCCATTGATGTATCAGTGGCACGGATCAAGATATTGGGGAGGAGCACATGGTCTGGCTGGTATCATGCACACTCTCATGCACTTTCCCTTGAACAAAAAAGATGAAGAGGATGTCAAGGGAACACTACGATACATGATCGCGCGCCGCTTTCCTAGTGGCAACTACCCATCCAGCGAGGGCAATGCAACAGACCGGTTGGTGCATTGGTGCCACGGAGCACCTGGTATTGCCATGACTTTGTGCAAGGCGTCTAAGGTCTGTTTGCTCTCCAGCTCAGAAGCCGTGTATTATTGGTTTTGCATATCAGAACCTTGTCATATTCCCTCCTCAGAAACCATTGTCAGTGTCTTGAATCTGCCTCCCACATTATTACAATAGAGGTCAGGTAAACGCTTTGAAGCATCATCCTCTTCCGTAGAAGAGATCTTGCGTCAAGATAAAGAGTTTATCTCATTTGATCAATATTGAGCTTGTTCATCTAATAGGAATTGTTCCACCAATTTACAGGTATTTCCTGATGAAATGGAGTTCCAACATGCAGCAGTTGAAGCAGGAGATGTCGTATGGAGTCGAGGTCTACTTCGGAAGTTGGGCCTCTGTCATGGGATCAGTGGAAATACCTACGTCTTTCTGTCTTTGTACCAATCAACAGGAGGGAAACAGCACCTCTTCAGAGCTCAACAATTCGCCACTTTCCTTCACAAAAACGCCAGAACGTTGATCGAGTCAGGAGAGATGCACGGCGGTGACCATCCCTACTCTCTGTTTGAAGGCTTGGCAGGAACTGCATGCCTCTTTTTTGACTTGACAAAACCAGAGATGGCAAGATTCCCTGCTTATGAGCTTTAGGCCTGCTTCACCAAATTCCTAAACCTGTATAGATATGATATCTGACGTTGGATCATTGGAGTCATTGCCTCATCTTCAGATGAGATAGTGAGGGTATATAGAGTAACAGTAAGTGTCTGTCTATGTATCTGTTATGTAAAGCACAAACCCAAAATTGTATAATTGTATAATCGCAGCGATTTTATAATACTGAACATAGATACGAACAACACTTAAGCTGAAAGAAGATTAGTGATATGAAAGTACAATTGCAAATGATAGTGAAGTTAGGAGTGAATACATACAAAAGAGTTACTTAGAATGTATATATGTATTGGCTTCGGCAGACTGTATTGACAATAATGATATTGTGCCTGTTTAAAGTTTTTGACAATTTGGTTGGCATATAAGAATTTGTGAATACATAAAATAAAAGTGTGTACACAAATGTATATTTTGTGTGTGTTTTCTGAAGCACCTCCAGATATTCAAATGAGGGCATTGTTCAGTTGTCTCATGTAATGATGAGTGTTTTATACATTTTATTCTTTTTTTGTAACAAAGAATGTTAATAAATAATTATTTTGAAAAATATTATGCATCTTGATTATTTATCTTTATATATATTTTTTTAAACAAAAAATCCAAAATACTTCAATGTATTATACAAAATTTAATCATTCATATGTATGTATGTATGTGAGATATTGCTAATATCACCACAACTTGCCACCCATTTCACATTTTTTTTCTTCCAATCAAAAACTTAATAGCTAAACTAGACAAAGTGAATACTATATAATTTTAATTTTTTATTAGAATTATAAAATATTAAATTAACTTAAATTAACATGTTGAATGGATGGAAAGTTATGGTAGCAATAGAAAAAAATATGGTGACATTAGAAATATATATATATATATATATATATATATATAAACATATGGGTGCTAGATTTTAATCAAAGTTTTGAATACTCACAATATTAGTATATTGATTGTACTTGACACAAATATATGCTTTTTAGAGCTTCATTATATATGAAGTATATAATTATTCTATTTATGATTATTTATAAATAAATTATAATGTATAATATTTTATTTAAAAATAAATAAAAATTAAAACAACTTGTAAATTATCTAATGAAACATAATTCAATTCAATATTTTGTTATACGAAAGTATATTTGTTTCTTAATTTTTCTAAAATTAATTTTTTATTATATATAATTTTAGTATATATTTTAAAAATATAGAAATTAAATATATATATATATATATATATATATAAGTTTCTAATAAGAAACATTGCTTGAGATAGTGGACAAGTAATTTTAAGAAGGAATTTTTGTTAGACTTATAACTTAAGTTTTCTAGTAGAATCAACATCATTATAAAAATAAATAAAATAAAGTAAAATACTTAAGTAGACACCCTTTTTTAATGTGTGGACTCACACCCCTTCTTCCTCCCCTCACTAGCTACACATCCATGCAAACAATAGCTAGTTTACATTTAAAATCATCATTCTTGTTATATTCATTATTTTAGTGCTAAAATTTGGTATACCCTTATTCATTTATGGTTCCATAATATCTCGACCTTTAATTCTTTTGATAATCTAAGAACTAAAAAATAAAAATAAAATATGTTTTAATCATGGTGTCCTTTAAAAGTACAAAGATTAGAATAAAAACTTGTCACTTTTGTTGGCAATATATCTTCAAGAAACACCAAATTACAAACCTAGAGAAATTGGCAATTTTTTTAAATGGTCAAAAATATATTCATACATAATAAACAAAATAAAAGTTGTATTAGTTGCAAATAAGTAATGAACTATACTACTTCCAACAATGAATCAGAGGTAATATAGAAAACTTCATCATACCACATACAAAAAGTTAATTAATTAGTATATTATATAATTGACTAAATAAATCATTTTTATTTTTATTTTTTAATAATGAAAGATACAGGATTATATCATTTTAAAGTGAGTACCTAAGATTAGTATTTTAAAGCAAGAATAGTAATAAACATATTACTTTGTTTAACTACTATTTAGATCTTAAAATGTCAGCTTCAAAAATCAATACAATATTAGATCAACTGACACACATTCACAGACGGTGCTGAAACCAAGCTTCACGAAAAAGATGAAAAACTTGTATTAAAAATCCCTACGTAGGAAGGTTGATAAGCTGTGAGTGGTTATCTCACTCTAAAAAAAATGGTTCATAAAACAACTTTATACTTTGAACACCTCTGTACTACCACTTCTATTAAACAAAAACAATCATGTTGAGAAACACAAATACCCACATATCTTGTTGCTCTTCATCAGCTTACTCAGATTCCAATACCAACCACCAGTCGTAGAACGGTGTCCTCAAATCCATTGCCGAGTCAAATCATTCTTCCTCATCCCTGACCGTTGAAATCGTACACGTTGAACCATAAAAGCTACATTCGATTTTTCTAAAACGAAGTATAAAGTCCAGTCGTCGAGATTTACAAGCTTCAAGGGTAATCCCTGTTTCACACTCGTACAGGAAATGAAACCCACCAAACCTCAAACCATCATGCCAAGCAAACAGTAAAGACTACAACATGATACTACAGCAGCTTCGAGTTATACACCCAACCCACCTGAATCCTAAGGCTCTCAAATCAGGTTTCTGACTTGAGATATAATCAGTACACTGCTTTCTAACTAGGTATGAATTGTAGTATCACGCATGCATTATACCGTCCCCGGTGACTACTTCCTTCGATGGCAAGTCTCCACGAGACATGAGTCTAACTCCAAAACTGATCTACTTACTGATCTGGTAGAATAACATCGGCGTATGATATTGAGATCAACTTGCGACGGAACTCGTCTTCACTGCCGCCCTGGTGAGTTGATTCAGGACTTCTTTTGACCTTCACAGGAGACAAGGGCATCATAGAGCACAGAGGTGAGCCTGACACAACTGGTTCGACCCGTGAAATCGCAAGTAGCCGAGCGCGCACCGAATCTTTCCGGTCCAGTTCCTTATTGTGACCCTCTTGTTGCTGTTGGAGAAGGGACCGTGCATCCTGGTCAAGGTCCATAGGCAAAACCTGTGCTGCCTTCGCCATGTAATCGTTTCCCACTTTTTCAACTGCTGAGTTACAACAGAGCCTCGATAATCAATACACCTCTACGTAAAACACTACAGTGGGTTTCTTTGCACAAGAAGGGAAAACTACACCCACGAAATTCGCATTCAACCGATCACACAACCCATCAACCCACTCTCAAAAACTTGACACCATCAGGTCTACGAACGCCCTCAAGAACTAATCTGGACTCGAAATCAACGCAACATCCGACTTGACCCACTGCAGATCTCCTCAACCGCACGCACGGAAACCAACCACAATCTCGAGATTCACCAGCAACGCAAGCTTTACCCTCGCCCACCGACACCACCAGTCCTCGTATCCCTCACGTGACCGCTCATTCTCGACCTTTTATCACGCTCATCTCGTTCTCACAGAAACCCAGAAACCTCGATCACACTACCATGTCATGCAAACAATCAAACAAACAAACAAACCAACCTCGGCCCGAATCGAAAGTTCTCGAGTACCCAACAGCCTCCAAACAAAGACCGTGAACGACGGACCTGATCAACTGGTAATATGCACTCATACACCATTACCTGCGGAGAGAAAACAAAAAAGAAAAAAAAAAGAAAAAAAAAAGTTAGATGTTTCGATGGATGTGGTCGTTCATCTGTAGGATGAATGATAATTCGTTCCTGTAACGAATGGAGCTTTAATATTGTGGGGCTTTGCTTTTATGGCTTCTTTGTGTGAAGCTTAAATGTTAATAACTGCCCTTTAGTGCGATGCTTTATTTGTCAGTGACGGTGGATTTATTTTGCACAAGCGTATCATTGCTGTATAAGTTTAATAATTCCCTTAATTAAAAATTAAGAAGTGTGATTATAAAAATAAAGATGTGAATTTTGATGTGGTTTTTGTTCACTTGGATGGGGTTTTTAGACCTACAGGCTTACTTTGAAAAGTAAAAGTATAATGAAAGTTTTTTTTTGATTGATAAAGAAAAGTTTTGATTTGGGAATTTTTTACCTTATTTTTAAGTGAGAAGAGGTCTTTTTAAGGACCAAAGCCATTGTTTGATTATGGTTTGAAATGTGGTGGTTCATATCTTGAGTGTACAAATATGAAAAATACAAAATAGTATTGATAAATAGTTATGGGGATTTTTTATATGAATTCTTCAACTTTGTTAAAAATATTTTATTGAGGTGGGGTTAATGCAAATTTTTGGAGACAACACCATTTGTATCATGTAATAATACAATTCATCTCATCATTTTCTTTTTGTAGCTTCTTGGATGGTTTTCTAAATGTAAAAATATGCTTAAAGAATGTTTTTATATTAAGAAAATACAAATTTTAAAAGTTGTGATCTTTTGTCAATTTTTTCTTAAGCATAATGACTATCTAAGATACAATTAACTTTGTGATTTGATCCAAGTAATCATTTTGTTCAATGAGTTTCTTAAATTATATAATAAAAATTTAAAAAATTAAATAAACTTTAAAGAAATAACAACAAACAAGCATGATTGATATAAGGGTCGAAAGTAATGTGAGATGCATGTTGCATCAAAAACAACATCACAATCATGTGTTGAATTTAAATTGTGTATTAATAATTTAAATGAAAATATATATGCAAAGTATTTTTTTTTAAATAAGAATACTAATTAATAATGAAAATGTGTAACCTTGAAATTAATATGCCAATTTTTTTTGTTTTTGGTAAACCATCAGTAAAAAATTATAAAATTTTCAAGGTTATTTCTTTTTGTGGTCTTAAAAGTTTTAATATTAGATTATCATGCTTCCTTTTTATAATTTATAACTATATCTCAATAACAAAAGTATGTAAATAAAATAAATAAATAAATAAAGAGAATATAAATTTATTAATTGATGACATACAAAAATCATTTAAAAACATTGTCAATTGAAACACCAACCTATATTCCAAAACCCTGATTTTTGTGATGATCAAAATTGTATAAATAAATAAACCAATCAAAATTTTATTTAATTATTTTTATTTTTAAAAAACATAAACATCAAAGAAGAGTACAAGGAAAGAATTGTGTTTGAATTTGTTGTTTGATTGAATAAACCTCATTCATTGCAACCTAGTTTATCTAATTGAAAAGAAGATGGATCAGTGATTGATCAAAAGGTCTACTAGCAAGACAACAACAGAACGTCATCTATACTAAAAGGTTGTAGAAATTATTTGAAAAAATTACTTGAATTATGTAATAATATAATATAAAAATACTATAACATTTATTGCATGCTCTCATGAACTAAACCTTTTGTAACCATTTTCAAAACAATTATTTCACAGCTTTTCTATTAAAATTTATACACTTTATAAATTGAAAACATTAAAGGAGAAATCAATATTAGTGATATGTATTGATTACTTGTGTTAAATCATTTTTTTTTCATTTCTGATAACTGCTTGAATCTAAAACACTATGCAAGATATTTAATTAGTTGTAAAATATCACATTGACTTGTTTGCTTGTTTTGAAGACATAAAAGGCAACCATCCTCCTAAAAAAAGTAGAGTTCTAAGACTTGGGTAGGTTTGAAGTTGCACTTGTTGTAAGGATTGTTTCCTAGAGTTCTTAGTTTTTGGTTTTACTATTGATTTGAAGGGAGCTATTGGTGCGGGAATACCCATACGAATTGGTCGTGATCCGGGCAACCGTAAAATATCCAATCCATAGTCACAAATAGCCATATGAGATTTAAGCCAATTTTTCCCAAGCGTGATATTATAAATTTGTCCCGGAAGCACATTAAGTTCTTCGGATATCTCGAGATCACCAATTTCAAAAGTCACTACACACATCCGCTCCGGATACCTCTCTACATGGGTGTTTGCTAAAGTGACGACTAGAACATCATCCGTGTACCATGTTTCTAAATGCAATTGTTGTGCAAAATTCTCCGTAATAGCGGATATGGAAGACCCAGTATCCAACAACATGGTTGTTATAATGCCATTCACTTTCCCGCATACTATAGCTACGGATTCTTCATTATCTAGTTGCGATGGATTGTGGGCTTCGTCCTCTTTCCAATTGTCACACCATTTGTTACTATTATTCTTTTCAATGCCCTTGTATGGATGATCTATTGGTGGTAGTTTTTTGAGTCTTCTTCTTCTTGGTTTAAAAGGAGAAACCTCACTCTCCGAATCACTTTTGGAACTACTACCCGGAGAGTGCGAGTTAGGGTTCATTCCATGCAATTCAACACAATATTCACAACTACCACCCTCAGTACTGCTTTGATAACTTAAGTGTTTCTTTTCATAATCCAAATGTTGGTTTCCTTGTTGAAGAAAACTCATTTGCATTATTTTTATTATAATTTTTTATTTATTTTTTATTTATTCTTCTTCCTCAGTGTATAGATTCTTTTAGCTTCTTCTTGATGTGCAACAAGTAAGAAAATTGACTGTTTTGTCATGATTTGTATTGGAACCTCTACAACTATTACAAAACTGTAATACCCATCTTTTCTTGTGAATTCTTTTTCTTACTGAATATTTATTTTTTGACATTTCATTTTCTTTTTCAAACTCTCAATTGATTAATTTACAAATTCTACTTCTTTTAAAATTTAAGCTTTCATTCTTCAATGACTTATTAGAAAATTCAAAGACATCATTTCATTTGCTGATAGATATATATATATATATATATATATATATGTTTTAAGAGATCTAACTTAACAATTTAAAATGCTTGAATTCTGTACATGTTTTCAGAGGAAAAAAACCTTCAGATTTCATTGTTAAAATTATTTATGTCACAAATTCAATTTTACTACCAGATTGATGATAAATATATATTTTTTACAATAATACAAACGATTTGATGAAGTAATGAGTTCTTAATACAAAATGTAGAAATGCATGTTTAGGTTTAGGTTTTTATAATCTTATCCTGCCACCAACAAAACTATGCTCTCTCATGCATTAATAAACAAGATTGCACGATATTTTTCAAGTTACGGAAAATTTTCTCCACTTATTAAACACACAACAACATTGATCCTGCTAAAGAGGACGAAGAAGAAAAATCAAAATTAAAATAAAATAAACTAATCTAAAATTAAAACACACAAACAAATAGAAATAATAGAAAACAAGACACTTGATACAAATGGTAAAAAGTTACCCAAGTCAAAATAAAGAGTGCAATTTTGTGTGTAAAAAATATTTAATTTGTATAACTTACAACCTCAAGATATACGAAATTTCAATCTTACAAAAATCTTACTTTCTTTTTGTTTTTAAAACTTTGAAGTTGAAGATTATGTTGTATTCCAAATCAAATCTTGGAGTGTTATGTTCATATTAAAGGCAAGGGAGAGAAGATGCTTTTTTCTTCATTTTCAGTTTTCTTCATTGTTATAAAAAACAAAACAGTAACCTTCACATTTTAATGTTGGTAAAATAGAAAAGATGAATGAAAAGGTTTAGTAAATTTTCACCAATGGTTGTCATTTAATTGTAATGTTCAATGTTCATCATCAATGTTGTTACATCAACCAATCAAATATTGTGAAATTTATGAATCTCATGTATTTGTTTATATATTATTCGGAAACAAGAATGAAAATTTAAAATTGAGTGAAACTACATTCCATAATAAAAATTCTCTAATAGATAATGGTTCACCATTTTTTTCATGAAATATAGACTATTTAGAAATTCTGTTTCTTAAACATGTAGAATGAGTGCATGTTAATTTTTAAATGAAAAAGAACTGAAATTAATAATCCATATCTTTGAAATTGTAAAAGCTAGTGGATTAATGTGATAGTATTCTAATTACTGAGATTCACATTAAAAAATTAAAATTAAAATTAAAAAAAAAAAAAAAAACAAACAAACAAACAAAACAAACAATGAAGTTTACTGGATTTTGATGTTGTAAAACTGATGAAACCATTAATGCAACATTGTAGACAACAAGTGTCATTACTTTCATTTTCAAAACATGCTGTTACACATCAAACAATCGTCAAAATATTACATACAACAAATGCTTGAAAGAAGTTTTATACTTCGTAACTGTTAGGTGACCTTTTTCCAGCATTTTTCCCTTTAGAACGGTAGAATGTGGCTGTGTTTTATACATTTCATTTGTAGACACACAACTATTTAGTAAGAGGTGTTAAATGACTATGCAACAATTCTTTTATATTATGTCAAATTACTGCTACTTACACTTTTTATATTTAATTGATTCAGTAACTTTATTCAAGTTTCATTGTGATGATAATGCTTTAAATAATATTGCAAATCAACTTTTTAAATTATAAACAAAAAAAATTACGTATTAGAACATCTGGAAACATACAAAATCATGGGTCTACCAGATTCTCCGATTTAGTAACCACAGTATCATTAATCCATATACTACAATCACATGTAGACAGTGGTCTGATTTCTTCATACAAAATAAATGAAAAAACTATGGATATATGAGTTCCAAGTGTGTAAATTATGTATATATATATATATATATATATATAAACGCACACATACATATGTGTATGTGTGTGTGGCTGTTGTGTATTGTTTATTTTATTTTTTTAATTGTATCTCATTACAATCACAATTGAGACACAAAGTATTATTTGATCAGAGCAATATTTTTGCTTGTTTTCTGTTGTTGTTGTTGTTGTTGTTGTTTGTTTTTTTTTGTTTTTTTATTTTCTTCTTCTTCTTGTTTGATTTGTTAATGTTGTTGTTATTATTATTTTTAGAGGATTGTTATGCTACATCTCCAATTGATATGGCTACACCACATGTAACCTCCTCATAGACAACTAGATAATAATAATATTCTTTTCTTTGCTTTAAGAAATGGTGGTGGTTGAGATAGAAATAGTGAGTATTTTATGAAAAAAACATGTTGTTAAAAAAAAAAAAAAAATTGCCACAAAAAAAAATTAATTTAAAATTTAGTTTAGTTTAGTTTTATTTATTTATTTATTTATTTTTTGGCTTCCAAAAACTCAAAAGCTTATGTTTTAGTTTATTCTATTTTGGGTCAATATTGGGATTAAATATTGGATTGTCAAACGTGCCCTAAGCATAGAAGCATGCTTTTTAGTCAATTTAAGTAGTGTAGAGGTCATATGGGATGTAGCAATATCAATTGGAGATATACTATTAAAAATTCTCTAATTTATTATTATTTTTTATTTACAAATAAAATTCTCTAATTTATTATTATTTTTTATTTACAAATAACATTACAAAGTGCTTCAATCTTGATTCTTATTTTGAATGAAAGCATATTTTATTGCATATTTTTCTTTTGTATTTTTGTATCCTATTATGTTTTTCAATTACTTGACATTTATCAATATACTATGATAAAAAGTTATACATAAAATTTATCTTTCAAATAAGGTTTTAAAAATTGTAAATAGAGTTTTCTTTTAAAATTAAATATTAAATAAAAATCATAAACAGTTTTCTTAGTCTCTAACTTTAAAATTTTGAATATTTTTGTAATAACAAATAATTTTATTATCTTGTTATGACTTAAAACCTATCATTCATACCCTCATATATTAATACAAACCACTCAAATAATGTTTTAAATTTATTATCCCTCATAAGTATCCCTCATATTCCTCCATTTAATATTGCTACACCCCATATGACCCTCTTCATAGACAACTTGCTAATAATATGCCTATTTTTTTTATGCATTTTTTCCTTTGTTTGCTTTAAGAAAGGGAGGTGGTTTAGAAGGAGTCAACAAATATATTATGAGAAAACATGTTGTGAGTTGTTTTTTTTATTTTATTATTATTTTATTTTAAATTTAAACAAAATATTAGCTTAAAAAGGTTCAGTTAATTAATTAATTAACTTAATTATGCTCTTATAAACACAATTTTTTTTTTCAATTTATTCTATTTTTGTGTCAATATTGGGATAAAATATTGGGATGCCAAATATGCCATGAATGTAGAAACGTGCTTTTTTCAAATTTACATTGTGTAGAGGTCATATGGGGTATAGTGATATCAATAGTGGACACATTACTAATATTTCTCTAAAAGAATATGAAAAAAAAAAAATGGAAAGAGAAATTTATTTTCAAACATAACAAGAAGGTGGAAGAAACCAACTTTTTAGGATTTTACGGTCCACATTTAAAAACAAAAATGCAAACCTCAACCTTCATTTAGTTTAGGAAGCACACACAAGGGGGGGGGTACGACCACGTGTCAGCACGTAATAGGGGCAGCCAATCGTTGCCAAGTCCACGTGGATGGAGTGCAGAGGTCGCGTTCCCAAATCGGGCAAGCCCCGTTCCCAGGATATAGAACATCTGGGAACAACACAATTGACGCTATGGGAACGCGAGTTCTAGAAGAGTGTATGCTTGGTAGTTCGTGGGTGGACGGGCAGGGCGACCCGCGATCCGGAGGGGGGGGAGTCGGGAGCGTTGTCGTCATCCTCGTCTTCGTTGTTGTTGTTAATGTGGAGCTTGGCTATGGCGTAACGTCGCACGGTGCCATATTCTATCATAGGGTTTCGATGTCGGAGCGAGTGCGAAGCAGGGCGGAGAGCAGAGAACGGAAGGCGCGATCACGGTCTAGGGAAAGCATGAGAGATTCGAGGATAGAGGGGGCAGTGGAGACGACGAAGGAGAGAGCGCATAGGAGTTCGAGCGATGGACGGAGACGGAGGTCGCGGTCGCGAGATAGTATGAGGGATTCGAAGCGCAGGCGGAGGTCGCGGTCTAGAGAAAGCGCGAGGGATTCAAAAACAGAACAGAGTTCGGACCGGAAGGCCCGCTCTCGATCCAGGGAGAGTGTGCGTGACCGTGATGTTGTTGGAGGAAGGGATAGGAGGAGGAACCATGGTGCATCAGAGGAGGTTCATACCAGGAGTTGTGGCAACGAATCTAATAGTGGTAGGCATGGATGGGATGAGGAAGTTCATGATAGAAGAGGGAGGGGTGAGCATAACCGCACCAGTGTAGAGCGGAGAGAAAGGTCGCGTTCTCGGGAGACCGTGCGAGAGAGGAGGGCCGGAAGTAGGGAGAGCTGGCGTTCGAGAGAGAGACGGGCCGGGAGTTCCGAGAGCAATCGAGATAGAGAAAGAAGGGCTGGGAGCAGAGAAAGCATGCGAGAGAGGGAAAGAGAGAAAGAAAGAAGGGTTGGGAACAGACCTCGGGGTTATGGAGATGAATATTACGATAGGAATGCCGGTCATGGGAGTCGAGATAGTGCGTGGAAAAATCATTACGACGGGGGTAACATTTTGTATGATTTAAACAGAGATAGAGCGTATGGGCCTGACAGACATGGTGATAGGGATTGGGACAGGAGTCGAGACGGTGGTTACAGAAACCATCATGACCGAGATCGCGGTGGCATGGGTTTCCATAATCGTTCGTTTAGGGAAGACATAAATCACATCAATGAAGAGAAAGACAGGTATGTGTGCAATTCCTGAATGCCTCTTGTTTGAAACTTGTATTGATCCTTCATAATTGTTCCTTTTGTATGAATGCTGTGAACATTGCTTAAATGATACGAGACACAATGTTTTTTTTCTTTTTTTCTTTTTTTCTTTTTCTTTTTTTGCCCTCGAGTGTCAATACTTAGGATACAAATTGTGAATCGCGTCTGCGTTGTTCGTCGTTCCGGGCTGTGATCATTTACATGTAGGGTCTAGGCAATTTGTCGATATTTGACGGTTTTTTATATGACTCCTTTTTGTGTCTTAAATTTTTACAGAGAAGAAGAGGATGACGAAGAGTACCAAGAGCGCATCGAGTCGCAGTTGGCTGCTCAAGAAGAAGACGATCCGGAAAGGATTAAAGAAGAAAGTAGACGCCGAAGGCAAGCAATTCTAGAAAAATACAAACAGCAGCATCAAGAGCAGCAGCAGCAGCAGGAGACAAAAGTGGACATTTTTGAGGACCCGACGGTCAATGCAGGTGAGTTGTTCAATGGAATCAAAGACATTTTTGTTTTTGACTAGGTTTGATGTTAATTTGGTCATGCATTTAATTTTTTCAGGATTCGTTTTTCCTTTTTATAAGTGTCTTTGGTCGAGGTATTTCAGGTTTCGATCTCACTATTCTCAACGTTGAAATAGTTTTAGTTTTTTAAAAAAATTACAGATCATAATCAGTTTTGAGCTAAACTGCAGTTGATAACGTCGTATCTTCGAAGACAGAGCAAAATCCGCCTTTAGCTCTTCATGAAAACAAGGAGATGCAGGCTGTGGAAGAGACTCTTAATGGCGTGGAAATCGACTTGGAGAAGAAAAATGTCGCAAATGGAAACGCTCAGAACGAGATTGCACCAGAAGCAAGTGGCTTGGGACAGGGATCACCGAAAGTAAGTCTATTATACAAATTTAATACTCTTTTTAGAAGGTAGTTATGATCAGTGTCTGTTAGTGAGACGGGTACTTGATTGTTTTTGGTGGTTGCAGAGCGAGCTAAAGAGGACCGATGACATGTTCTGCGACGATATATTTGGGGAATCACCCGCAGGGGGTCGGAGAATGGTAGGTCTCTTTTTGAGAACTGTTTGGGATACTTTCAATTACTTTTTGATGGAGGATCATTTTCTTGTTTTACAGATTTTACTCTCAAATGGAATCGGTGTTGTTCATCGGATTTCTTAAACTTGAGGATTGATGACAAATGCCCATGACCATTGCAGGGGAAAGGTGATGGCTTAGCTATTAACTCAAGTGGCCTGAATGACAATTGGGATGATCCCGAAGGACGTTACTGTAAGTTCACCTAGTCTATGATTTTGAATTGCTGCTTTGTTCTTGGGTGTTGATATGTTTTTTTGTTTGGATACTGGTATATGCTTTGGCATGGTTTCTGTTCTTGATTTTTTGATTTTTTGATATTTTTTTTGAGGTGCTTGGGGTTTGGGAATATAGATTTTTACAATGGCCCTTGATTAAGGCATCATTACGTTGGGTGAACTTTGACAAAGTGAAGGTAAATGTTTACAGGTTTTCGTATCGGTGAGACCTTGGATGGCCGCTATAATGTTTTGGCATCACATGGCAGCGGTGTATTTTCAACTGTGGTTCGAGCGTATGACACAAAAGCAGGTAAAAATGATCCCGAAGAAGTTGCAATCAAGATCATTCGCAACAATGATACTATGTAAGTTTTCAACACTCCTACTTCCATTTTCCATTTGAAATCTTGCGATTGTGTATCCCATGGTCCGGTTTTTGTTACATGTGAGGTTTCGTAGCTGTACCAAGTGCTCACTATTGGCCGTAATTTTCCATTTATGATTTTGATATGGAAGTTGGATGCAAGTTGCAGAACTTTCCACACATTTTAAAACACATACTGTCGTCATACAAAGAAAGTTGAATTTTTCGTCACTATCAGTTGCATTCGTATGAAATGTTTTTGAATTCCTGAACTTTTTGATGTGATAAATTTAAGCTCTAAGATATCCGCGTGTTGGACTTGCAGGTACAAAATTGGTCAACAAGAGCTGGTGATATTGAAAAAATTAGCTGGAGCTGATCCTGAGAACAGAAGGCATTGTGTACGACTACTTTCTAGCTTTGAATATCGGAACCATTTGTGTTTGGTCTTTGAGTCTTTGCACATGAACCTACGTGAAATTCTGAAAAAATTTGGTCGCAACATTGGCATCAACTTGACTGCAGTCCGAGCTTATGCAAAACAGCTATTTATCGCACTCAAACATTTGCGGAACTGTGGAGTTTTGCATTGCGACATCAAGCCTGACAACATGCTGGTGCGTAAATCCATTTCATAGACAATTAGAACTAGGTTTTGGAATATCTAATGGGTCTAATGTGCATGATTTTATACTATTGAGTTCTCTGCACCTTTAGTGTAATTGTGGGACTTATTGACATCTTTTGCGATGGGGGGAGGGATTGAAGCACATCTCTGGGCTTATGTTGCAACCATTTTTTGCAGGTAAATGACGCCATGAACGTGTTGAAGCTTTGTGATTTTGGATCTGCGATGTTTGCTGGAGAGAACGAAATTACACCTTACTTGGTCAGTCGATTTTATCGAGCACCGGAAATTAGTACGTATCTGAACACTAACTTCACATATATTTACAGCTAGTATGTTTTAAATCTGGTAATATCAGTGGTTTCTTTTAAATTCAATTTTCGGGGAAATTTGAATTGAGAACGATTGAACCTTAAGGACCTTTTTCCCTTATTTGATAAAATTTTCTGTAATATTTCTTTCTATTTGAAGTCTCCTGTTTCTTATCTTCTTACGTTGCCTCCATGAAATTTTTAGGTATTTATTTATTGCTATTTTAAACTCTCAAGTTCACTTTATATTCATGCAAGTTTGTAAAGACATTATTAATGCAGATCTTGTTGCTGAGTACCATTTTTTTTTCCAGGTACCACTTAAGTGCCCATGCTGATAAGACAAGTCAAGGTTTCACGTCTGACTCATTTTCATTTGGCTATTGCAGTTCTTGGCTTGCCTTACGATCATGCTCTTGATATATGGTCGGTCGGCTGCTGTTTATACGAGCTTTACTCGGGAAAGATGCTGTTTCCTGGGCATACCAATAATGACATGCTGCGACTGCACATGGAGCTGAAGGGGCGTTTCCCCAAGAAGATGCTCAGGAAGGTATATACTGAAAATTTAGCTATTATCCATTGTCACTTGTATGCCGTGAACAGTTTCCTCTTCTAAGGTCTTGGGTGCTTAACGTTCTTTGCCTCCCGGCTGACAGGTGGAGTTTTAAGCTTTCAATCATTTCAAATTCATACAGCCTAGGTGAAGGGATAAGAGGCCTGCTCGGTTTTGATTGGTGAGCTGTGCAGCTTGGCTCATAGAGAGTGGGGTAGTGTGTCTATAGGCTCCATTTATGGATTGTGCGTATCCATAAACCATACTATACCTGCAGTCAAGGAATGATAATATCGTTATAACGTTCGCATAGCTGTGTGAAGTTTGTCAACTTGGATGCAGGTATGGTATGGTATATCCCCGTAGCCCTAGAGCCTTAGAGGCCTTCAGGATGTCTACAATTAGCGCCCACGTAACTAATAGTGATACAGCTATATGTATACCAAGTCCTGGTATTTATACCGGAAGAAGGCTTTACCGCTGAAGCACAACTCAGGAATCATAGTTGTGCTGGCATAGAGCTATCTGTTCTAATGGGTCTTAGTGGTTTGTCTTGTTGTGCAGGCGCAATTCCTGGATCAGCACTTCGATCAAGACCTGAATTTTTGTGCTGTAGAAGAGGATCCTGTCACTAAGAAGGTAAAACCCACTTTCTTTCTCTTCTTCCTCTTTTCTTCTTTTTTGGTATGTGTACCGACCCTTTGTATGTTCACCTTTTGCATTCCTCATTTTTGTTTCATTTGCTGCAGATGGTGAAGAGGATAATTAGAAATGATCATTTTATTAAACCCAAGGATATGGGTCATCTCATTCACAGCTCAGGAACAGCTGAAGAAGACACAAAATTGGTGATGCAGTTCAAGGATTTGCTGGAGAAGATGTTTATTCTGGATCCAGACAAGCGGTTGACTGTGTCCGAGGCACTGAGTCACCCCTTCATTTCGGGAAGGTGATGCAGTTATGCCAGTTTCTGGCGTATACATTGTTGTCTGTCTAGACATCAAGTTGTGTCCTGCATATGTAGAAAGTAGGAAGGTATTCGGAATCGTAGATTCTATTGGACGAACAAACAAATTCTGCTTTTTCGTTCTACAATTTCAGCTATTGATCTTAAACTCTCTCTGTCGTGGCACTGCTCGTCGCGAGATCTCGCCAATTCATCAATGGCGCCTGGCGAGGGTGGGCTTCTGCTGTTGTTTCAGGGCAATACCCACAGAGCATAAAACTATACGATTGTAAGACAACACGCACAAAGCGTTTTCCTGTCCGTCTGCTTTTTATATCGATCATTGTCTTGATGGTGTGAGTTCTCTGGGCGTCGATATTTGGTTATTGGCGGTTGGTTTTTTTTTAGTGTCCTTAGAATTAGTCGTTGTGCTGACACTCTGCATGTTCTAGTGTTGGGTGAGTTTCAGTGTGGAGATTGAGTTGAATTTGTTTCATGTCTGGTATTAAGAATGGAGAAACAGTTCGGTACTTCTCCTCTTTGAGATGTATCAGGGATTTTCTTTCGTAACTCATCGTTCCTGTGGTAGGCATATTCTTGGTCCATGTGGCTTTTGATTTTATTTACCTCTTGGTCTTTTGTAGAATAGTTGTAGGCAGAAGTGTGTGGAGTCTGATGCGCGTTCGTTCTTCAGGGATGTCCTCATATCTAAGGAGATTAGCCCCTTTGGTGCTTAAAGCGCTAGGTAATGCAGCGACGAGAAGGTACTCTAGTTCTCCCAGGGCTGTCTGCGCACGTATCCGTAGTGTGCTCCTTACTAGTCCTCATGGCCTAAATCTTTTTTGGTATTTTTAAGCAAGCTTTTGGCTTGCTGGTCTTACGTTGTGTATGATTGTTCTCTTTTAATTGTAATTAACCTTAGTGATGTATTTTTCACCTTTATAAGGCAATTGGATATGGATTTAGAAGTTGTTACCTAGATTGAGGTGGGTTGGAGTCGCTTCTAATGTTCAACTTCCCTTGTCAGTAGAGTGCTTAAGGAGAAGTCTGGAATTATGTTATTATATAGTGTTTATGGTGACACATGAGGCGTGCTGTGCAGTCAAGATACGTTGATCGATTGAATTTTATCTCGGCTCTCCTTTTGTTGATGAATAGTTTCAAAGGAAGCCTAAATGGAAATTTCCGTGTCCTTCGTTTTTTATTTTTTATTTTTTTATTTTTATACTGTCAGTTGGTGCTCTACACTTTTTTAAATGTTATGGAGTTTGGAGTATTCATCTGTCGTTCATAACTGACAGGAAGTGTGTAGGTGGTGGCTGCCTCTTTTCTTGTGAGCTCCTTGGGGAAGTGATTTTTCAGACTGCCTATAATGGCCAGATTGAGGTGGGTTACATTTCTTGTCATTATAGGTTTAAAAAATTATCACCTTAGTCATTGCATTCTATGAGTTGAATCTTCGGTATATTCTTCTAGACGTAGAAATCGTAATCCTCCGCATTCCTCTATATTGACCGCAGAGCAGGGTTAATGTGGGTTTCTGTTAGATAATGAAGCTGCTGATGAAACATTGGTAGTTATTTTTCGGCTCGTTGAGGTTCAGCTCGGGTAAGTCCCTGCTGATCCGTGTGGCACGCTGGGCTCTGGTGACATGATACATATTCTTAAATGCCTTAGATTTTCTAATAGATACCCTTGTGTTCAGTCTGTGACACCATTAAATTGTCTTACGGAACGATATAGTGAGGATTTCGTGAATCCTTTGATTCTAAATGTCTTGGATTTGCCTAAGCTACGTTTCAAAGCAGTGCAAGAAGAGGGGTTCCACATCCACTCCGGATGCGCTGCTTACATTTAATTTCTGCGCAAGCGCACTTAGATGAATGGAAGTAAATACCCTAATTACCAACAAATTTTCTCGTTATCTACTAAAAGAAACTGCGTACTAGTTTATTGCAAGTATGCGCTTAATCCTTTGGGTTTGAAGCACAATGGGATGTGGCGAAGAACATCACTGTTTGCTCTTAGGCTCAATTTAAGCAGCGTTTTGTTTACACGCTTTGTGATTGAATGTATCAATATTTTTGTTGAGTTTGGGACGTCGGAGCCTGTTGCAATGATCTCTGAGGTAGTTTCTTGAATATCTGTCACTTTTTGAGGTCGTGAATTGGCTCCAGGTTTTGGTATCTATAATTTTTGGGTTAGAATAAAGCCAATTAATCCGAATGGTTAGGTTAGGAATATTAGCTTGTAAGTGGTTATACGTTTTAAGTAGCCTAGATGGTTGATAGTTTTATTATTTTTATCATTAACACCATAATCTTTTTAATGGATTCAATTAATACACTCAAGTTAGAAAAGTTGGAATGTGAATTTCAGCCATATTAATAGATTAGACTGGGGATATAGACAGAGCAAATATCATCTTACAATTGGGTAGTTGATTTGAATTACTTCAAATTTGTTGAAGATGTTAGAACATTGAAATTTCAAGCCACATGAGAACAAGAGATGAATTTAGTAGGCATCACTGCCTTAATAAATGGGTCGTTGGCAAATACGGAGCTCCTTATTATGGAATCAATCTTAGCAATGGCGGTGGTAATTACAATTTGTGAAATTAACAATCTTGTTGTTAATTTCCTAATTGTATTGAACACAATGTTTTTCTTGAAAGGATGTGAATATGTTAAATTTTTGAACTATGTTTTAAAAAAAAACTAAGTAATTGGGATTGATTGTAGATGAAGTGGAAATTTACATTTTAGAATATTTAGGAACCTTAAAAATAATAGTTGGATGGATGTTAAAATCTAGTGATTTTTGACGGTTACTATTTATTCTTTAATTGAACTATTCGAATAGAAACTTGAAATACAATGTGTTCTGTAGGTTAAGACTTTATCTAATGCTGAAAGAGTGGATACAAATATGTTTTTATTGGATTTAAGATTTTGTTGTTCTTCATTATTGTTCTCTTTATACATTCCTCTTTCTTCTTGTAAAAATCTAGAATCGACCTTGTCTTTAAAACTTTCATTTTGAAATATTTAAAATATCAATAATTATTCAGATATAATTTATCATCATGCTTTACAAGTTCTATTCACTTAGTTTTTTTTGTTTTGCAATCTAATCTCAACCTCGATTTTGTGAGTTTTGGGATCTTGATTTTTAATTACAAACAAGCTTTTTAATTGGTCACAACATCTTATAGACTTAAGATGAAATCAATATAAAGTTGTATTTTTTTAATCTATGATGTATTTTGAATATTCAAATTTTATACAATGATCCAAAATATAGTTTTTGAATATTTGCTTTTTATATATATATATATATATATATATATATGCACATTCTAAATATGTAATAACTTTAATTACTTATTTTTACCAGTGTTCCATAAATCTACCAGAATGTAATTAGTAAATTAGATTAAAACACACATTTATTTCATATCACTTCTAACATATTGATGCATATAGTTTGAAACATTTCAGCTTAAATAACATTATTTAAGCTGAAATGTTTCAAACTATATCATTCTTTTTTTTATTTAAAAATATTTTAATTGCTATATATTTTTAAAATACAAATGGATGTAGTCAATCACACAATACTTTTTATCAAATAAAAAAAGTTTAGTCTTGCGTAGAATTATTTCTGCCACTCCAAAGCATTTTATACAGCTCCAATGCAGGTAAAAAAATTTCTCTAAAGAAGAAAACTACATAATGTGGAGAATTTTGTGATGGTGGTTAGTATGGATGGGTCAATTTAATAAATACTTGGATCATTTTAACAAATACTTGGGTTGTCATTTTAAAAATTCCCTATATATATATATATATATATATACGTGTGTATAAAATAAATACATAATATCTCATATCGTGTCTTATACGACAAGGCTCGCGACCATCCGGGCGTCCTCAACCCTTTAGCGTCCATCACGGTTTACGTAAATGCTTTTCCGCGACCCTCTAACGATGCCCTAATTGCAAAGCAAAATATTTCGATGACCGCCATAGCCAGCTCCTAGTTCAACCTCGACTCGACTCAGTGAGATAGTGCGGAAGGGGACGTTGCCGCGCCAATCGGAGGCATGTTGCTTTCGCGCGAGGATTTTGAAAGCTCGGAACAAAGTCTGCGAGAGAAAAAAGGACAACTCTGAATTGGATCATTAGAGATGGCGATGAGTGGGCAAGGAGACCGACCATCTTCGTGGTTTGGTTAAGTCCGCAAGAAGGCTCTTGGAGGTGCGTTTCCATGGATGCGTGCCTGGCGAATTTCGTTTTGAATTTGTTGCTACACACGACCGTGAAGTGGATTGCTATGCCATTTGTGGTTTCTCAATGCTCGTTTCTGGGAATTTGTTATTGCAAGCATGCACGGGGCGCTTCTCCTCTTCGTGTCGCTTGTTGCATATGAATTCTGTGATTGGTTGAGGGCTGAGAAACGGTGCGGGAAATTGGAGATGATCATCGTGAATCATTGATGAAATTTTGTTGTACTTAAAGGGTGTGATTCTCTTTTATTATGTGATTTTTCTGTGCGCGCTGTGAGGTATATTGGTGTGGCTAGGAGGTTAGATGAGGTTTTCCGCGTACACTGTGAAAAATTCTGGTAACGAATTTGTTCTTGCTTCGAATTAGAACACTTTGGAGTGTTTGGGAATTTTACGCCGCTGAAAGTTCGACCAGAAGCACTACTTTCACAAGTGTTAGCATTTGAAGGAAGTCTTTCTGCTGCAAATTGAAGTCGTAACACAATATTTTAATCTTATAAACTATAGTGACATTTGTTGACTTGCAACGTCTTAGGATTGACCTTGCGCATTTGGTGTGGACTTGAAATGATCGCAGCTTCTTTCTACCCCAACTTGCGCATTTGATCACTTTCTATTGAGAGCTTAGAAATTTAACATTGAGTATCTGTAATGTAGTTGATATACTTTTTCTCCTTGCGCAGATTGGGGGTTGGGATGAAACTTTTGGTCGTGGAAATAAAGTCCTGACTGTGTCAGTTGACTAAATGAGTACTTAATTCATACTCTTAAGTCGTTGGTATTAAAGTTCGGAGTGTGAATTTTACTGTCTTGAAATCATTAAAATCCAGATCCAGCATTGAAGTATAATCAAACTTGCAGCTGTAATGTGGTATTGATTATTTCTTTTGTTAGAGTAAGTCTCTTTTCGCTATTTGATTGAATCTTACGATGTTTGCAAGCTCTTCATTCATCACTATTGTAACGCATAGTTGTTCACAGGTGCACACATTATCGTGCTGCGGCTTAAGATTCTAGCGTAAGCATGCAAAATGGGTAATAAGTTAGCTCGAACGACGCAAGCTTCGGCGTCGGAGTACTATTTGCACGACCTGCCTTCTTCCTATAACTTGGTGTTGAAGGAGGTTCTAGGAGGTGGCCGGTTTTTGAAGTCAGTTCAGTGTGTCCATGATGAGGGACTCTTGCTTGTGAAGGTTTACTTCAAACGAGGCGAATCTCTTGATTTGAAGGTTCGATTCATTTCATACAGTTTGTCCTTTTCTTTTTTTCTTTTCTGTAAAAACAATTATTAGGATGAACATGTATAAGCGTCATTATCGATTATTACGTACTGTCGTCTTGATGGTTGTAATTTTACTGCAGTCTGTTGTAGTGGGTGCAACATTTGTAAGAAGCCCACCATGCTGCTGAAGCTTGCACATGTTCATCCTAATTTGAGTTCTTTTGTTAGACTTGGCCGGTTTCGAAGTTCCTTTGTTGATACTTATGTGTTTATTTTTCATATTTATGAAGGAGTATGAGAGAAAACTACGAGACATTCGAGATCGTTTGAGGAATATTGAGCATTCACATGTTTGGCCTTTTCAAGTAAGTATATCATATCAATATCTATTATTGTTGGCACTCGTAATCAAGATCTAAGTTGCTTGTCGTGGATACATTTGCTTGATTTCAATCTGTGTTATCTCTTCCTATTTACTCATCTGGTCATTCATTGGCCTGGGATGTGCTTTCTTTGCTTGTATAATGTGTACTTGAAGAATCCACGTATGACTTTTAACACAACTCTTGCATGTAATAGCACTGGATTGAGACTGACAAAGCGGCTTATTTGCTACGTCAATACTTCTTTAGTAATTTGCATGATCGCATCAGCACTCGTCCATTTCTCAGCCTCATTGAAAAGAAGTGGCTCGCCTTTCAGGTAAGTCCAGCTCTCTTTACATGAAGTCTACAGTGTTGTCTGTTTTGCAACAATTTTCGTATCCTATTATTCGAACCTTCCGTTTCTGATTTTTAGAGCTCACATTTAGATAGCTGCTGCTAAAAACTTGAACCTCACAGCCTCTCGGTTTTTACAGCTTCTGCATGCTTTGAAGCAAAGCCATGAACGTGGAGTTTGTCATGGTATAAGTTCAACTCTCAGGCTTTTCATGTAGAATATACTGCTGATCATAACGCCAATCACCTTCCGGGTTTAATGGTGTTCCTGTTCATCATGCTCTTCTTTGTGTAATTAGTACCGATGTGTTTTCCACGCACACTACATGAAGCTTTGTGGTTTTATAACGAAAACTGAATACATATTTATGAGTCTACCACCTTTGGTTTAACATCCCGCTGGCGGACAATAAGATCCATTAATTTTATTGTGAAGTGTTCATTATGTGCTCTCTTATTGTTAAAATTTTTTATTCCATTTCTTGTCGGGTATATATTAGTAGGTTGCTCATTCTTTTCAAGGTGTCGCTTAATTAGTGAATGGTTGTGGCAGGGGACATAAAGTGCGAAAATGTCTTGGTGACCTCATGGAATTGGGTATATTTAGCAGACTATTATGGGGCTCTTAAGCCCACTTTCTTACCGGCGGACAATCCTGCCGATTTTTCTTTCTTCTTTGACACAGGGAGTCGGCGTCGATGCTATCTTGCACCTGAGGTACAATCATCTTTCTGGTATTGACGTGTAGTACGCATGGAATTTGTGCTGCACATATGCTTCTGCTCTACGTAGCAACGTCTTTATTTTCCATCCCTTTTTTCCCTGTTTCTTTTTTTAACTGTTCTGATATGGTCTGAGGATATAAACTAAACTATAAAAGCGAGATAAATCTCAATCACATGTAAATGTGGTTGAGATTTGGACATGCTGATTTGTTTAGTAAGTTTGAATGTCAAGAAATGTAAGATGCTATAAGACTCATAGCTTTTGTTGGTTGATTTAGCGGTTCCATGAGCCAAATGTCGACATGCTTGCGACTTCAGATGCTCCTTTGACGCCTGCAATGGACATTTTCTCTCTTGGGTGAGTTATCTGTTTGGCTGAGACCATCTTGATTGCTATTTTCAGTTTAAGGTGAAATGGCTATGTTGATCTCATAATCTCGATGGATAATGGTGGGCACAGTATTTCTGATATATGATTGTTTACTAGAGCAGATGTCCTCATTGCCATTATGTAGGACTGCTCACCTGTATGTGAAGCTGTTGACTTGTTACTGGCATATCAGGTGCGTAATAGGCGAGATGTTCTTAGAAGGGAAAGCGTTATTCGATTTGTCTCAGCTGCTGGCTTATCGTCAGGGAAAATTCGATCCTCGGTCATCTCTTGAGAAGGTGGGTCATATCTCTGAAGGTGCTTTTCGTCACAAGCTTGTCATTCTTAATCTTTGGTAAATTCTTAATATACGAGGCAACAAGACGACAGGCAGCTACTTCTTGTGGTCAATGTGTGAAAGTAGCTCTAAGATGCATATGGGCATAAATTGTGTGATTTTTGGGCATCTATCTTTATTAATTGTATTCTGCAGTTGCCATAAATGTTTTTCATAATCTGCTTATTTCTTGGAAGGGCTGATTCATGTTATATTTCTTAACTGCTATACTTCAGTCAGTCATATATCTGGGACAGAGCGCTTTTGTTTACTTACTATCAAACTGAAAGGCGGACACAAATATGTATTTATAATGGTCTCACTTGCAGATTCCAGATGAAGGAGTCCGTGCTATGATCCTGGACATGATCAACGTCCTTCCAGAGAAACGGTTATCTGCAGATCAATACCTAAAGTTGTGGTGTCCTATAGTATTTCCAGAATACTTCTCACCTCTGTTGCACGACTTCTTCTCGTACCTAGTTCCACTGGATACTGACAATCGAGTAAGTGATCATTATTTTCACCCCTTATTTTTACTGATGATTTTTTCCTTCTTCTTATTTAGTTATTATTATTATTATTATTATTATTATTATTTTCCCTCTTCTTCTTCTTCAATTCGGTTTGTATAAGTGCGGGTATCAATAGTTTTGTGACTAGCGTATTATAATTTAAGTAGGTCCAACCAGTTCTCAAATTTTTGAATCAATTTGCATTAAGCTACTTTCAGGCCTGACAGGATCAGTAATATTGTAGCCTGTTAATCCTTCTGCTTCTTTTGTTTGTGCGTTTGCTTTGATAAGGTGGCTCTTACACAAAGCTTTTTCCCGGAAATTCGCAAGCAAATGCAAATTGATTCTCGAAGGAGGCAGTTTGCGGAGGCAAATGGTGATGGCATTGCTGATCTGGTACTAGGTACGAGAAGGCTTAATTTGTCGCCGACACAGAAGCAGAAAAACTTATACGATGGAGATTTTATTGTAAATGAACCATTCATTTTAGAATCAGCGAGACTTTTGTCGGAAGGTCAGACCAGGTCCGTTACTCTATGTGCATCTTCGCACCGCATCAAAGCTGCTGCGGTGGCAATGACAGAGGCAGCTTCTGCTCTCGAAGAAGTTGTTACTGAAGAGGTTAGAAATTCAATAATTCTCCTTTTCTGCTTTTGAACTACTTTTACGATTAGATGGTCAGTTCTTAGATACTTTTATGATCAAATATCCTCTACCGAAGAGATTTCCAAGCTTATCTGAGGCTCAAGTGTGGTAATACTCGCGTTGTATTTAATCGTTTTACGGTTTCCGCAGGTACTTGAGAATCAAGTTCGAGAACCAGGTGGTACATTCTATGAGCGTCTTCTTCACACTGTTGAAGCTTCCATGGCTACCCATGGAATACCAGGACGTTGCAAAGATGATGTTACTCTTCCTTTGGAGGGTGGATGGAGGTGGGATGGAGACTGGGAAGTCGACCCTAGCTGGGTTCATAGTGGTACGTCGAACCTTGTCATGATCGCCTTTTGTGTGATTTATCGCTTAAGATTCTAGCCCTCTCTCTCATGCGATAGTTGAATATGCACATTTCAATGCAAATTCAATAAGGTGAGTTGTCTCTTTTACGAAAAAATTAGATAAGTGGGTCAAGTTTGAATTTAACGCCTGAGCTTTGTCTCAGACTTGCTGATGCACTGCCAAACTAGCAATTATTTCACTGAATTGCTAGTTTATTTCTAGGACTAGCCACCGTTTAGGCTATAGTCTTAAAGGGGAGGTCGCATGATTGAATATCTTGGATTTATCTTCCGTTAAAATTTTGTGTGCAGCAATAAATTTGACTTGTTTTGAAAGTGAAGTATATCTAAGAACCCACTTATTATGTTTAGCTTGTGCTTGTCTTAGCAGCAGGAGTTGGAGCTGATGAGGAAGGGTGGAGGTATCGTAAGGTAAGCACCGGGGGTGATGAAGGTGAAGTAGACACTTCTGTTAAAAACGCGGGAGATGTTACTATAAAAGGGAATAGTGTAGGGGATTGCACTCTGAAACGAACCCCTCCTGTCAGTCGTAGTTGGACATCCACTTGTACTCCAGATTGTGTATGGAGACAAAGGAAATGGATACGCAAACGTCGAAGACGACCGTGTCACTTAGATCTGATCTCGCAACAGAGCATCGGATCAGAGAGTCAAGGACAGGGATTATTACCAGAAGCTTCAAAGATCCCGGAAAGTGGTAATGAAGGAACGCATGATCAAACCCAGCAATGCGAAGGCATGGTGTTAATTGCAGCTCTCTTATGTGCCTGCCTACGTAATGTCAAGCTCCCTCAAGCTAGGCGGGGAACCATCCAGTTATTGAAAGAAGCTTCATCGTACATAGAGGATGATGCTCGACTTCAACACGTCATACCTTACGTTGTCGCTCTCCTGTCCGACAATGCTGCCATTGTTCGATGCACCGCTCTTCAGACTCTATGTGATGTCTTGTCTCTGGTGCAGGTATTTCTTCATTCTTTTATTCTAATCTACTCTTGTTAGTTTCTATTATTGCTTTTGCATTGTCTTCTTCGCTGGTTACAGAGTAATTTGATAATATTTGAAGTTGAGCAGGGTTATCGCATGTAATGAATATTGTCGCAAAGCAGGTTGCATCAGGTTTTTGGGTTTTCTTCCTCTTGTGGTTAGTGCCGCAGCTAATGACCTCAGCTGGAATGGGAGTTTCTAAGCGCGACACAATTAATTGTCTACAGGTTTTTCCACCAAGTGATGCCAAGATGTTCCCAGAATATATACTGCCTTTGCTCTCCATGCTACCTGATGACTCAGAAGAGAGCGTCCGCATTGCGTATGCTGCTAATATTCACAAGATCGCTGAAACTGCGAACCGATTCATGATGCACTCACAGGAGATCCATGAGATTGGAAGCTTAGATTCTCCAATCAATCGCGCGAAAGGATCTTTGTCAGAGAGGAAGGCGACCTCCACTAAGCTTGGGGTAACTTTCTACTTTTAATTTGAAAAACAATTCTAGTCCATGAAGTTGAGTTGCATGATAGAAATAACATAAATCTATGTGCAATATCATGATAGAAAATTCAGAGGAGATTGCACTTCCTAGGTAGAATTAACTACTATAGTTGTCACGATGGTTGACATTTGTTAGACAGTTCTGCTGCGGGTTCCTTCCCAGTTGTCTAGAATGAGAACTTTTTCTGAATCCTTTATCGTTTCTTTGTATGAAGCTGATTCCTGCTGGGTCTGTTGGGACAAATTAGTCTGCAGGTCGCTTAGAGGGAGAGCTTGCACATTTGCGTGAGACTATTGCACGCGTCATACAGGAGCTAGTGATGGGTCAAAAGCAGACCCCTACAATTCGTCGTGCCTTATTGCAGAATGTGGGGCCACTTTGTCGGTTTTTTGGACCCAAACATAGCAACGATTTCCTGTTGCCAATCCTGCCTGCTTTTCTAAATGACCGTGACGAGCAGCTACGGGCAGTATTCTTTGAACACATTGTTCATGTTTGTCTCTTTGTGGGACGAATGAGTTTGGAGGCTTACCTTCTCCCTTACTTAGAGCAAGCTCTAAATGATGTAGAAGAAACGGTAATTGTTAATGCCTTGGAATGCCTTGCGGCTCTTTGTACACATCGTTTACTTCGAAAGAGAGTTTTACTTGAAGCTATTGAACGGGCATCCCCCCTTTTGTGCCATCCAAGCCAGTGGGTGCGGCGGGCGGCGATTTCTTTTGTTGCCGCCTCTAGCGCAAATCTAGAGCCCACTGATTCGTACGCGTTCTTATCGCCGATTTTATTACCATTTCTTAGGCGAGAGCCAGCTTCTCTATGTTCTGAGGTATCTCTGCTAGCATGCTTGAAACCACCAGTGTCAAGGGAAGTCTTCAATCGTGTCCTTAGTGATGTGATGCTACTGCAAACTGAGAGGGAGAAGGCAGCTGCAAATAAGCAAGGGATTCAAAGGACTCAAAGCCGAAGAGTAGCTCCTATTCTACCTCCTCCAGAGTTTGCTGGAGTGAGTGGTATGAACGCCGCACGCGAGAGTAAGAAAAGTGAAAGAGAGAGTCGGTCATCTAGGGTAGGTGTTTCCCAAGGTCCACCTAGGAATAACGCTAAACGTGCTCCAATGTCCGGATCTGGCCCCCAACTTCTGCAAAAGCCGTTGACAGGAGAAGGTGAGGATGGAGAAAAGATGAAGGCTATGGAGGGTTATCTTCGTAACCTGTCTAGCACTATGCAGACTCGGATGTTGTATAATTGGGAAGCAGATAATACAGAAAAACTTCAGAGCTCCGCAATCGGCTTCGCAGCTGGGGTGGGTGCCGGTTTCTACTCCAACTACGATGGCTCTTCAGAAGGGATTCCTCTATACTTTGTCCCCGTGAATGAGAAGAAGCCTGACCCAACTCTTTCTGGGCAAGGAGGGACTCCCCAAGTTGGAGAAGTAAATCCTTCTTTCAATGAAGAGTGGAGTCGAGTATTCGGAGGTAGGCAGGGATCGGCACCCTTTCTCATGGCCACGATTGCTGGAACACCGATCAGTGCTTCATTAGGACCAGCGTCTTCTCAATGGGCTAACGTTGCTGGTCATTCATCGATGTCTTCTATTGAGCCTTCTTTACACAGGTACCTTGGTGGACCAACTCGTTAACGTTTTCTGTTTGTTTCTTTACTTTTCCTACTAAATGTTTTGCACGATGAGTTCCTCCTCAACATATCTTTCTTCTTTTACTGTTTGTTTTGAATTCCATCTTGCCTCTTGTATATCACTACGTCTTACGTGCATGCCTTGGATCATGGATGACTCTGCTGTAGTGGGTTGTGCTTTATGCTGCATAAGTGTGTAACTTTGAGCAATCTCCAAGAAATGATGTGCGAAGCGATTCATTTTATTTTATTTTCCATAAATGTGCACCTAATAACCTCTTGTTCAAGTACTTACTCTGTTACCATCAGCTGTAGTAGGCTCTTTGGCAATTGGCTTGTTTCACACATTCTTGCTACGCAATTCATCTTTGCTGGGTTCAACTGTCCATGCAGGTCACATGTAGCTATGACGGGGTCGAGCGCTGCAAGGATGCTCGCAGGATCTGTATACCAGGGGCCCAGTCCCATAAGCTACAGGAAGTTCGAGACCTTGAGAGGCAGTAGTCGACAAGAGTCCGGCGAAGGTCTTCTTGCTACCGGTTTCGGAAGCAGCATCCATAGTATGACAAATAGTAAAGCTAGCCTAGCATCATCATCTGAACTTCTTGGAGGTGGAAAACCTTCGGAGTCTAATTCAGTTAATGCACCAACCAGCGAAGCATCTTTGGAGTCTGGTACTCCGCTCTTAAGTTCTTCAGTGGTAGCAGAAAGCTCATGGAAACCCCGTGGTGTTCTCATAGCACATTTGCAAGAGCATCAACGTGCTGTGAATGAGGTGGCAGTTTCTAGTGACAATGTCTTTCTTGCAAGTGCATCGGATGACGGAACGGTTAAAATATGGGATTGCCGAAGGCTAGAAAGAGACATATCTTTTAGGTCCCGATTGACATACCCTCTCCAGAATGACGGGCGAGCACTTCACGTGTCCATCCTGGGTGGTGGGCACCAAGTTGCGGCAGCCTCCAGTGAAGGAAATATTCATGTTTTTACAGTTGATTATGTGGCACGTCAAGGAAACAGCACAGAACGTTATACTGGCATTTCAGATACGCGCAAGTTGGACACCCAGGAGGGGAATGCTATGACAATGCAAAGCCTTTTCAATGAAGGACCATCTCAGCTCTTGTATAGCACACAAAGAAACGGCATACATCTCTGGGATTTGAGGACTCAAACTGATGCCTGGGTGTTGCGGTCAAAACCAGATCAAGGCTACATAACAGCAGTATCAGTTGACCCTGCATGCAACTGGCTGGTGTCAGCAACATCTCGAGGAGTACTCACACTCTGGGACTTACGCTTTCAGGTTTCTCATCTGAAACTATTGACATTTTATGCTTCACATTTGTTTCTGAATTTAGTCGAGTTTGCACTAATACTGAGGAGAAACTTTCTTATTCAAGTACCCCTCACATTCTATGCTGCTAGAAAATTGGTGGGTTCCAAGATAATAGTTGTTCAAGGAGTCTCAGTCTGTCAATGTCCTCTTGCCTGCTTGTGTCCTTATGGTTCAGAAGTGCATTGCGACAGCTGAATGTACCAAGTAATAATTTAATTCGCTCGACACCGATCTTATAGTACTTGTGATATTCATTTTTAAGCACATGGTTCTTAATCCAGTTCTTGCATATTGCAGATTGCAGTTAACACGTGGCAGCATCCAGCTTGCTGTCCAGTCGAAAGCATGTGTGTTCTAGTTCCTGGAAAAGACACAGTTGCAGCAACAAGTCAGCATCCGTACGTGTGGGTTGCTGCCGGACGCAACGAAGTGGCTCTCTGGAATGCTGCAGATGGTATATGCCATCGGGTAATTTTAGTCTTTTTGAACATCAACTTCCCTGGAAAAATTTGTGCATGATGTTCCTTAACATGGCTATGAATCAACTACAACCTTTTATTTTATTTTATAAAAATATTCAGGGTGAGAGTTTTCCCGCTACCCTCCAGGCATGGAATTTTTGGGCAAGTCTGGATCTTAAGTCATGTGCATATTGTACATATCTCTGTCCGTGTATGCTGAAGTCTCGTAACTTGTGTGCAGGTTCTTAGATTATGCGCTGACCCAGTCCATCCAGAGATGAACACTGTCCCTGCAGCTCTTAGTCAGCCACTATCAAGCTCCCAGTCTTTAAGAGATACCAAGTTGGTTGGAGGTGTGAAGTTTACTGATTATCGCATGGAAGAACTGAATGAGCCTCCCCCAAGGTTACCAGGAGTTCGTGCACTACTACCTTTGTCAGGGGGTGCTGCTCTCCTCACTGGCGGTTCAGATTGCAGGATTCGAATGTGGGATCGTTTAAGGTATTGTGCTTGTTCGCAGTCAATGGATTTAATTCTGGTGTAGGTACTAACAATTCTTGCGATTAGACCATCTTGTAATCTTGGGTTTTCTCGTATGTGGTCCGTAAAATTCTCTTTGGACGTGTTGAACCGTTAGGGGTTGCTTATGGTAGCATTCTAGGGAAATTCTACAGCATTCTGTACTAAAATCCACGTCCGATTTGAGGTTGCGGTATTTAACTCATATACGGTTATGTTGTAATTCCAATCCGAATTATTGTAACCAACTTTGCTTTATTGAATACAGACCGGATCGGAGCTATCATGTCTGTGGGCCCACCATGGGAAAGAGTTCTGCTGTTCAGACTTATGAGCTGCGCTCATTGAACAGTGTCCGCATTGTTCAGGTTGGGATCAGTGACTGTCAACTTCGTGTCTTCCGCGTTTATTGAGAACGGATGATGTATTATTGCATGTCTATTTCCACCGTCGTTGATGGCTACAAATATCACAAAAGTACTCATTAATTCAGTATTGTTTGAACAGGTGTTCTGTGTCGCTATTGAGTTGTTTTCGTTGTGATTTGGGCTGTTTATATTTGGTATTATTTCTGACATCAGTAGGAAAATTATTTCCTAGTGTCGACACTGAATAGGCTCCTCTTTCATAATTCGTGTTCCTCTAGCAGATGATAATGGTTTGGTCATTTTTTAACTAGAGAGATAATTGTTTACAGGAAACTCCAGGGACAGAGAGTGCAACCCGACCCCCAAGCAAGAATTCTGCAAAGACTGCTCTTGCAGCAGCTGCTACTGATAATGCTGGTTGTCATCGAGATTGTATTCTTAGCCTTGCTTCAGCTCAAACCAATCAGCGGCTGTTGATATCAAGTAGTAGAGATGGTGCTATTAAGGTCTGGAAGTGAAAATCTCCTGAAGGACAAACAGTTGTGTTCGTTGTTGAAGTCTTCCAAGACTGGACCTGGAACTAGCGTTAGCATTGGATGCCTGGATGATAATTGGTTTTGATTGTGGCACCAGTGACCTCTGAAAGCCGACAAACAGCTTCAAGGTATCACAATCAGCAGTTGCAGATGCAGCTTCAGTCGTTCTAGAGTCTTTCCAACAGTTCGTCCGTAGACTTAGAGCTTTATCACAGGTTGTCAGGTTGTAAAAGCCCCAACGTTGTATAGGAATCCTCTAGCAGTCAATGCTTCAAATCATTTTGTGCATACCGTATGTATAGTATGCTGTGCCTGCATAGTTCAGGTTACAGTCCACAGTAGTGAACTCTAGACAACAAAATGATTAAAATTGTGAGTCGTGAAGTGAAGACGTCTAATTAACACTGGTCTTTGGTAACTGTGTAATACTATGTAGTCTTTCTTACTTCTGTAAACTAGCAGGTGCAATTTTGAATTGGAGCATTTCCAATGTTCTCGAACTAAACAATATTATCCAAACAAATTCTGTATCTTGCAATCAGTGAGGGATACCATTACAGTAGTATTTTCACTCCTCTTACTACCTTCATTGCACAAGGCTGACTGAACGATGCTGATTACCATGGTCTTGTGATAATCGCATGATTTAACACGTCATCTATCACTCCACAAGTCTGTCCAAGTGTACTACTTACAAGCTTCAAGATAGGTTGTGATACTAGAGTGGAGTAAACCCAATGGCGGGTAAGTTGATCTTATGAGCATAAATAAGGAATAACTGCTAATTTTTCGCGTAAACTATACTAATTCTATTGAGATACGCCGCGTAGACCTTAATTAGCGTAACTGTTTGAGAGTCCCATTCTTTCTTTCTTTTTTCTTCTTGCATTTCTCTCACTCCTTTTTTTAATGTTGGTCACTAATCTTGGTATGAAGGCACATTTTCATGAGCATGCTTTGAAAATGCTCAAGTCACCATCATCCTTAGTATTACTGCCTGCATGTAGTTGCTCCAATTCGAGCAAACCTTCTTCCTACAGTGATATTCATTTATTGCGCTCAGTTCTTGAGATGAGAAGTCCTTTTAACTATCAAGTGGTCTGCAACCAAAAACTGCGAGTGCAATGACTTCACGGGTTGCAGAAGTCGTGCTTATTAAAACAGCTGAATATTTTTTATCCAAGTAATTTATCAAAAATCTACAATCCTGTATTCATAAGTAGTATCACGCGTAGCTCATCAAGGGTTTCTGGAGACATTACTCTTATCTTCTGCTTCCATCATTCAAACTATCCACATCTACATTGATAAGCTTGTTATGAAAAGTCATTGCACGTCATTTTAACCTAGCTAACGGAAATAGCCTAGCACGCGTTGCGGTTCTTCAGATCCTTGAGACGCTGCTGCTGTTTAAGCAAAGCGTACAAGAAAACTTCCACTCGTATGAGAAACTAGAGTCCTAAGAAACAGATCCGCAACGCCCCCGGTCCTCTTCCAAGAGCTCCTACAAATATGCCGCGGCCTTCTCACGTGTCCGCTTGTGCATGAGATGAAACAGCACACTCCGCTTCCTGCGATTGCTCCACGCAGGCGGTCGTTCGTTCGGAGGCTGAGGCAGACGAACTCGGTCTCCAAATCATTCCGTTACGAAATAGGCAGACAATGAAGTGAGCTGCAAGGCAGGAATCAGCTTCAAGACCTGGATATGGGTGGTCATACGGATGTTCCGATGTGGGGGTTCCTTCTACAGCTTGCACCACGGTGGAGGGTACTATTTCTCCCTGGACTTAAGGCTGTGTTGCTGTTCATACTTTACAATGAAAGCTCAACATGGTCTATTGTAGGGTAATTCGATGTAAGACTTTTTAAAATCAAACCCACCTTCGTTCTTTATTAGTATAAATTACGCCTATTACTATTATAATCAATATGTTCTTATGGTTCTTTTATGCTTGTATTGCTTATAATTACAGTAGGATGAACTTGTGAATATCTATATAGGAGTAAAGTTATGTCAAACTTCATAATATTATATATAAAATACAAGTAGGCTTGAGACTTTATGACTCAGCGACTCAATTAATGTAATGGTGGATATTATAATTTTGGTTTTTTAAATTATGCAAAGACCCCAGCAAGTAGGATTACTACAACGAAACATTCTCATAATTCAAATTGAGTTGCCCAATGCAACGCGACGGTCCAGTATTCTTTTCAGAGAAATAGATAGATTTGTGAGAGATGCTATTCAGTGTCCTTTCTGTGTCATATTCCTTACCATGGACAAAACCACCCTCTCAAAATACAATTGGTTGCATTTCAACTGTGAGACTTGTTTATCCAAATCTCTTCCATGTTACTCAAAATTATTCTCCTTGCAAAAGGTTTATGCAAATTGGAATGGATTTGACAAATATATATATGTTTAACCGTCATGTTAGGATAGGATTTTCAAACCATTGAAATTCGAATTGAAAAATGAAGGAATGTAAAATCTTCGTTCTGAGTCCAATTCAACACTGTGCTACTACAAGCGGGAAAAATTAGGTGGAATCACGAGTACATAGGTTGCAGGAAGATGGCCTCGGGGACATCGCCATGCAATCCAAATTCAAACAGCTTGCGCTGCTCGTCACTTATTTGTTGCAGAACTGTATCAGATCTGTTGAGTGCCAAGTTATATTAGACTTAAACAATGCTTTCGTTGTAAATGTTGCCCCAAAGCTATCTACACTTTCAAGTAAAAATTCAATCCGTGCAGCTGTAATGGACGGTGACTGCAACGGTCTCTACTTTACCGAAGATCGTTGCTCAGTTATTGCCTCGGAATAGATCCGCGAACGCATGATTCACCAAATCAAGCTCTTCACCACGGTACCTGCGATGGATTATTTACATCCTCGTTTCTCGTCCAGCTCCGATTGCTCACGAGGTGCATTCCACATGAACATCCACCTTGATGCGAATCTAACATTCTACAGGGTGTTGTGAGCGCATTCCGCAGGTGCGATCGGGTATCGTTTCCTGTCGTCGCAGTAGTTGTATACCACCCGATTCGCCCTCACCCACCTCATCTGCCTCACGCGCGCCATCCCCACGGTCTGAGCGTACGCTCCCGGAGAGGCATACTTACTGCCCTGGCACAGTCTCAAGCTGTTTTGATCGAGGACGTTGTGCACAGCGCATCCATTCAGCCTAAAGTTCTGATATGTTGCCACAAACGGAGCAGCGGACCAGTTGATAGGGATGCGGCCGCCTTGGGTGGCCCAGGTGCTTCCGTCCCAGATACTCATGTAGATGCCCATGGCCTGGGAATTCGGATACTTGAAGTTGGGCACAATGCCTTCAAGGTTCTTAAACATGCGGACGGGTGTGTTGTCTACGTATAACACCAGCACGTCCTTGTTCCATTGGAAGTTATAATAGTGGAAGGTCTCTGATGGGTCGAATCCCAGATATATTTGCTGCTCGCGCCCTCCAACGCCGTTCACGTGGATATTGGTGTGCAGAAGGAACGGTTGTCCAGTTTCATTCCCTAGAAATTCGAAGTCGAACTCGCAATATTTTGGTCCTGTCGATAACATATAAAAGGTGGTGACTGTCCCAGCGGAATTACGAGGAGGCAGCTTGATCCACGCCCCGAATCCTCCGAACAGATAACTAGTCTTGGACGCCGCTCCAGAGGCAGAGAGCGGATCGAGAACGAGCTGCACCCCCCTTCCGTCGTTGGTGTACTTGACATTCTTCGTCCACGGATTGAACGACGCGGCAAGTCCCCTGCCTGGCCTAGACTGAGCGTGACCACCGCCCACGAAGATACTTAAACACAACAGAGCGATGGCAATGCATGATCGTGAAGGTGCTCTGCGTGGCCCCATCAAAGTTGAACGACGGATAATCCACCAACTAGGCGCACTCCTATACACCGTCTTTTGACCAACTAGTTTCCCACAATTGTACTAAACGCTGCTCGTAAAATAAGATGAAACAAGTTTCTGTGCCTTCAGTCAGCTCAAAGAGATGTTTTAAGCGCGGAGCCGATAGAAGAGATCTTAGTACACGAACCACGTCGAAAATGCGGTAAACTGAACTAGCCGATTTCAATTGACAGGAAGTAAAGGAGCAGAACTTGATTGAAGATCAACCTCACAGGCGTCAGCTGCAAGAACTGTAGTCTGCATTGGAGAGAGATGTTTCGGAACTGAAGAGCCTGAGAGACAGTTGGGAGATGGTGGTCACGGTGCTTTAAAGTTGGTGGTGAAGAGTATCTATACTATGCAGTGGGATGACAGCCATGGGAATAACTAGCGGCGATCGACATTGAAAAGTGGTCACGCGGTGAAGTCACAAGGTGTCAACAGGGCACCGTCGCAATCTGGAGTAACATCTGGGACCAGAGCATAAGGGCATCCCGGCAGTTACGGAATTTCCTCTCAACTTGCAAGCTTCGCCAGTTCACTCATGCACTCAAGTAATCAATCTTAACAGTGGATAATCACCGTGAATGATCACGCCCACATCAATGTCCATTCTAGAAAAAAGAAAACACTTCACGATAATTAGCAGAGGAGTACTACAGTAACTGCACCTTAATACGGGTCCCACGATCCCCAATTATGAGAGCGTAGCAGTAGACGTCCTTGCAGAACAGCAATCAGCCTCGAATAATACCAACATCCTTAGATGGTAATTATCAAATAAACAAACAGGTAGATAAACACGAGATTAGACTTACGATGAAGTTAACTGGAACTGAAAAAAACCAGTAATCAAGTTTCTGTACTACTGGCATCTCCCTGTCGTGACCTAGAGTGCCCTGTCGGGGGCTGGAGTACAAGTGATGCATAAGTGATGCACGTTTATTTATCGCTGTCCGATATGCCACCCACACTGACATTGCTTGCTCTGGAACCATGAACGCGGTTTCGAAACAACAGCGGCTCTTGTATGGCATCACACTCGATAGCTACGTTCTAGATGCAGAAGAAGGGGAGATTTTTCTGCGTCAGTATCCACTGGCCATTTTGACCTGAGTGTAGCTGACAACACGGATTCTATGACACGTACAGGTGCTGATTGCAGTTGGTCTGGCGACTCTGCAGAGGATTGAATTCCTGGCAGACTAGACGGCCTTCATAGTTCATTTCTATTCGGTGGGTTGAATTATAGACCACCTTGCACGGTGCATAATTCATGAGGTTGAATTTACACTGAGTGTGTGTGTGTGTGTGTTTGTGTGAGTCGTGATCTGGTATTGAGCACATGGGAAGCTGAATTGCTCGATTCCCCTTCTGACACTCCTTAAGAGAATTGGCTTATAAAAGTTTACTTTATTTATTTATTTTGTTTGTTTCTTCTTCTTCTGAAACTGAAAGGGGTGTATCCATGTGCTATTCTAGAGTTAATGCAACCCTTTTAGGGCTGGTTACAGAGTTGCCGGTGGGCAGGAATTAAGAGGTCTGGCCAAAGGAGATTGATGAGGAATGGGAGTTTCTGTAGGAATGCCTTACAGTGTCTGTTTCCTTGATTTTCTAGTTCAATCATTTACTGCATGCTTTTCTTTTTTTCTTTTTTCTGTTATCAATAGTGGGTACCTTACTTCATTGGTGTGCAAATCCACCCTTTCTCCATGTTGTTGATTTTGCACCTCATGCCGTTGTTACCTATCTACTAACGTATTTCGGGCAAAAGGGTTGAAATTTGAAAAAACCAATGTTCTAGGAAGTGTTTGTTGGAGAGTGGATCTGCAATGGAGGTGGATTGGAGACGGATCTAAAAAATACACCCTAGTTGAAAGGCATGGAGTGGTCATGGAATCCCAGCTAATTAAGAATGAAGAAGTGTGCAAATAAAAAACTTAGCTTCTTTTTTGAACAAAACCTTTTGGAACTGAATCCTTATAAATTAATAATAAGATTCACAAAAATTGTAAGGTCAAGTTGCATTTAGTAATCTATTTATAATTATGAAAAAGCAATATTCATGTCATTCGACAAGTCTTCCAAAATCATTGAAATATGCCCGATATTAGAAAGTAAAAGAAAGATATTCATATATGAATATATATAACAAAATATGTAACATTAAAACTAAAATAGTTTCTTTGAACTCCAGTTAATCTCTTCAAGAAGACATTTCTTGTGGATACTTTTTTGATATTTAGTCTCAAAGTAAATGGAAAGGCTTATGTGAGGTCTTTCTTTATGTACCTAACGTGAAATCCATTCTTCCTTCCGGGAGACACACATACATATATTTATACATGAAATACAAATACACATGTTTCCTAGTATCAACTGTTAGGAAAACTCTGAAATCACCCCAATTTCATTAACTTTCTTAAAGAGGGTGGGTTTTTTACATGAGATTGGCGAAACAATAAAAGTTTCTTCAAGAGAAATAAAATATGACGAGCAAATAACCCTCCTCGGAATCAAAATGTAAGATAAGGGGCGCTACGAGAATCGAACTCGTGACCTCTCGCACCCGAAGCGAGAATCATACCACTAGACCAAGTGCCCGCCGTCACAAACACTGGAGAGCTGTTATACTCTAAGAACATTACATATAATATTAAGTATTACTTCATTCTTTAAGGCATCAAAGAAAATTACCGTTTTGTAAAGGATGGATCGGAATCCCCATAGCGCGTGATAAGATGTCACTGAGCTTTTTGTAATTGGAATTAATCGTACACACGTTCAGTTATTCTGTTAACATGATAGTTCCAGATAGCATCTAGTAATGACTGTTACGAGCGGACAACCCATTTTTCCTCAGGCTATAACCTATTTACAAGAGTAATTCTGCAGCAAGTGAGCAACATAGAGCTGTACAATTTAGTTCAATTTACCAGCATGACAGCAACCGCTCTTTGAGGGTGGTCAAGATATGCCTTCACTATATTTCAGGATCAGTCCTGCGGACCTAGGTCTTGTCTTGTAACCTAAGAAAAGATGTCTCCCTAAATCCAGTGAAAAGTGCCTTCTTCTGCATTTTTAGTTTATCTGCTCAAAGTGCCTATGATGTGGCGCAAAGAATGTTGATGGGTGCGTTTCAAGCTAAGAACACAAACTAAACATGTAAAGCTCTTCAGGTCAAATTTCTGTTTTCGCTGTCATGACCGCAGAAGCAGTCTATACAGGAATTCATTGGCATCATTAGAACTTTCAAAGACCATTGTAAAATCATAAAAAAAGCACTCTGACATGGGAAGGAAATCAAGACACAGCTCAACTACGTACCCAACCAGAGACCTTGAATTCCTTGTTCAACCAAAGTGCAAACACAGACAGATCAATCGCCAGCACGAAAAAAGTAAAGACCATCGCACGATTAGTTAGTTGGATGGCATGAACATAAAAAATCACCTCCAAGAATGCGCTAACCATTCCGGACATGCCATCTACATAAAGGACCTTCACTGCGTAGCAAAGCCATTATTAAAGTAACCTAAACGTGAGACAATAATACAAATGTGGAGAGTCATCTTACCTACACTGATTGAGCGTATACAGCTCAAGGAGATGGAATTAACTTCGATCGCACTCATCCACCTCCAAGCACTTCACCTTAACCCCAAGAAGGCACCGCCCGAGGAACCAACTCCATCTTCCGTGCATTAAAAACCACACGGAACACGCTCCAAGCAGGACTATGTACCAAACAATATACACATTGGATCACAGGGGCGCTGTGTTAGTGCGCACAGATTTGGAAGCATAAAACTCGGGGGAATGTAACGAATAGTATGGGAATGACAATGGACAGCACAACTGCAGCAATGGCTGGGGTTCAAACAATTGAGAAGAGAGGAAATGTACCAGAGTTTGTGTGACTGGGATTTTAGGGCTGAAGGAGCTGGGTGTCCGCCTTCGACCTAATTCTTTCGGCACGGGGAAATACGGTCTGAATTCGTGAACTGAATTACCCCTGTATTGGATCTAGTTTCTCTTGAGTGTGTCAACTGTGCTGCGCTTAAAGCGTATTTATTGTTACACTAATTTATGGTTTTCTAAGCTTGACGCATTTTCCTGGAATTGGTATTACATTGATGGGATTGTAGAGAAGTTCATGCTGAATGGTAATACAGGAGTACATAAGTTTAACTCAGTTAACAAGATTATGTCAAGTAGTCATGGAACTATATGAGTTTCAGACTAACAAAAGAATCTAACTAATAAGTTTATACGGAATGAAGTCAAAGTGTTATTCAGGTTATTATTACTATTCTTAATAATTGTAAAGATCTATATGTAACTAGACCCGACTTGAAATCGTGATATTGACTGTTGGTAGTGACGTGAAAGAAGCAAATCTTGGTATAACCTCAGATTTTCTTAATGGGTAAACAGGGTGTGATGGTCTATATAATTGATCTATGGTTAAAAGTTATTAGTCTTCAATAAACATCATCCAACATAGTTTTCAATAAATTTTACGCAGCATTGTCATCAATGAATTTTACTCGACATGGTTTTCATAGATGCAGCTCTGCTGATCCACCATGAGTCCAAGGCGTGAAGCTATGTCACAGTTAAAATGTTTATCAGAATCAAGTAGGCCGGCGAAGGAGACCAGGACATTAGAATTGTCAGAAATAGTTAGAAATCATAGCACTCCATCCCAAAAGTAATCGTCGTCGTCCTCTTGGGTAGATACTTCTCCCTGTCTACAATATGTTAATCCAGTGCTTGGACAAACACCTCAGCTGTTCGTGTATTCTGCGTCACGTTGACAATTGGCTGTGAGATAAACTTCAGCAAAATGCCCACACTGAATATTATGTTCATGCACATGAAATGACGGACGAAGCCGTTTCAACAGTAGATAAGATGCAATGTTTCTCGCAAACCACGGGCAGAGAACTGTCTAGTTTGCAAGGACCAACATTTAGAATTCACAACATTAAGAATCTCAAGGCCGAAGGAGTACTCATACTTGTAGTGCACCATGAGCTTCGCACAACCCCCAGAAGCGTGTCTGTTATGCAAGTGGTCACACAGGATCATATTCCGTAGCACAAGCTCAAGACGGACTCGCCAAGAAGATGGCCAAGGACTGTAGTGCAATGACTTGGACAAAGAACTCGCTTAGGGCAACCTTGGCCTCGTTTACATGTCAGCATGACTTCAGCCCCTTCTGGCTTGCGTGGGTGATCTTAACCTGTGTACATCTGAAAGAGATTTAGAAAACCTGAGAAGGTGCTGTAGGCTTGCCTGTACATAGACAATATTTTGGTCAACGTATATAGACTACACAACAGCCACTCATACTTATGGATTATGAGGCCCCAATGTGCAATGGGTCCGGATATGCATTTACTTCTTGTACATTAAAAAATGTGAAAACACTACTTTACTCCAGCTTTTGTTTTAAAACTCTGCTCCTCTAGTTCACGTGTGCAAGACCTTTTCAATAAAGTTCGATTTTGTTGAAAGGAAGTTCTACCAGTTTATCGAGACTCAAGACCTGTCTTAACACTGATGCAATCCACGGTGAACAAGAGGTGATCCAGGGTGGATAATTTAGAAACACGCGATACTCAGTTAAGCCTTCGTTTGTTGTACATGCGAACAAGACTTTGTACCTAAGAAAATTCTGAACTAATCCAAAGCCTTTCTTTAAAATCTGCATACATAACTCGTATGTTGCGGTGGTCGAAGACAAGTTAGCCCTCTGGAACACAGCATCCCTGTGGAAATTACAAAATTAGTTGCTAGCAGACAAGCGGCAGAGAACTCACCAGAATTTGAAGACGCACGCGGGCTCCGAATGGTTCAAGATCCAGCTGAAGTGGATATTCCACGATAAATGTGCACAACACTCGACACAGCAGGTTGGTAACATCCGAGCCAGAAAACGTGGATGCAATACTAAGAAGTCCTCCGCGTGTGAGAGACCCCGAACTTCATTATTCTAAGAGGAAATCATTAGGCATTGGACATAACACCCAATGAAAATAATAGCAAGCAAGGAGCCCCACCAGATGAGCTCAAGCTTGAAGTTGTCTACGCACAAGCTATGCCCTAAATTTAACAACTTTCTAATATCTACAAGCTTGAGAAATTACAAGCACCAAACCACGTCAAGGACTAGTAAAGAAACAGTTTCATCTTATTTTCTTTTTAGAAGCATGGACGGATATGGAAGCTTCTCGATCATCACGACTGTAGGTTCGTCAAGATGCGAACCCATTGGTTGCATCCACGGCTCTCCATCCATTTGCATATAAGCTTTCTTTCGCGCATGACCATTGAGCTCAATTTTGATTGCCTCGGCCTGGAGCAAAATGCGAGATAATTGGATTAAAAAATGACAAAGCTAACGGAACTGGGCAGTACTATTAATGAGTGTGAATCAACTTACTGGGTTTAATCAAAGAAACAGGCACAACATTCGGTCCTCACACCGTTAGCGTGCAACTAGGACCTCCAACTTTCAGAATTTCAATGGTGAGTTTAATTAAGTAAACAAGCTAGAATGATATACCAGTAGATCCATTTGATGATCACCTTTTCGACTTATGGACGAATAAAACAAGAAGGATAGAAGCTTATACGACCTAGAAAGCTATTCAAACCATGCAATCTCCTCACCTTCCAAGTTTCCGATACCAAAGCAGCGTGATAAACAATCTCTTTACAAAATCAACACCAAGTCACTACTACTTTCCGTTTAAATAATTCGGTCGATCTGAACTGGACACAACCTTGATCTAGGAAAAAACGCTTACTTGACAAAGACGAACAGCAGTGGAAACTTCAAGGAGAACAAAAGCCGAATGCCAACCATCCTTCAACCCCATGATTTCCAGCAAACCATCATCGCACCTTTGCTCCTCAAAACCTTCCTGTTTTCCGCCGATGACATCAAATTCTGACAACGTTGATAAAAACAGAGTACAAGAACTTGACATTCTCATAACATATGGAAAATCTGTGGTAAAAGCTTCCTGAACAGCAACTTGACGGAGAGAACTGAGCGTGATAAGACAACCCACCTTTAGTCTTCTTCCAGAAGAAGGTTTTCCCCACGGGTTTCGCCCACCCGCGTAGCTATGTAAATTGCAAATTACAATTGCTCGAATACTGTTGCCATAACCATCAATGATATTGTTACATTCCACGTGATGAAACTGTAGCCGTACCCATCAATGAATGCCACTAGGAATAGGTAGAGGTGCAAAGTGCGCTCGGAACTTGTAACTTACTTGCTAGGAATCTGAATCAACTGCCAATCTTTAGAGCTAGCGCCCCTTTTTCTCACAAACAATTTCAAAATATTTGACACACCCCTGCAAGAGAACTCTGTAAGTTAAGTAAATATCAAGTTTTTAAATTGTGGACTAAATTTCAAACACTGATCTACCTTCAGAATAAAGTACTAACATGAGAGTTGCAAATAGTCACAAGGAACTTCACCTGGCGCGAGGAGACACTGCACATGTAGCGCAAAACCAACCTTGGGTGCAACCGAAGCTACCGTAAATCATCTGCAAGTTGAAAATGACTCTCATATCTTAGATAAAATGCCAAAAAAATTTACATGATTTGGCATTATGATAAAATGAAGTAAATTAAAGCGCATAGCTTGCAGCACAAAAAAAAACATAGCAATGCCAATAGACCCACTTGATTGGCTGTGCGACCTCGAGCAAGCCAGGGTTTTTTATCTCGCAGATGGTGAAAGCCATACGCCACTTGAGCATCCATTCCTGCACCAAGTAATAAAGCATGGTTTCATCAGTTTAAATTAATAAATTCATATGTGTGTCAGTTCAGTACTACACTATATTAGGTCTTTTACGGTCCAAACGTTCAGGCAATGCCTTTTGCTGATATATCAGTGCAAGATTCTTTTTTAAAAAGCCATTTATTCCACAGAAGGATGGATATTGACATATTGATCTCACCAATACTGAAATAGTTGAAAAACAATCCCTCAAACGCAGGAGCTGTTTCATCTTTTTCATGATTTTCACCAGCAATCTGCAAGATACTCATGAAAAGTTATCTCATCAACATAATTTGAGGCACCTAACACAACTATCACCTCTCTGTAGTCAATCTGCTTTATATTGAAAAAAACCAAGAAATTTTTTTAAAAACTTCAGAGAAATTACCGATGAGGGCAATGGAACATGATGTTGAGGATGCATTGCATGTGGAAAATGAATATCGGCTGCAGAAACGGATTTAGCAGGCATCACTTCTACTTTCCACCTGCGCAAAAGTTCATGCTGAGAGAATATGAAACTTATCTTCCTGACCAAAGTGGATAAACAGACGATATCACTTGCACGACAATCCACATTGAACATGATCATAATTGGCCCTTTCAGGACAACAAACTGACCAAGACCGCAGATCTGTAATCAGTATTACCAGGGTACTGTAACAGAAACATTAGAAGACCCCTCCTAAATCGGAATCTTCACGATTCTATTAGCTCAGTCTACACGGCAATTCGATGTTGTCTACACAGAGGAACACTTACGTATCAAGAGGTGCAACCTTGGAATATAATGCCTTCACCAGGCACTTTTTGATTGCTGACTTGTTCGTCGAACTAAAATCCCCACCCTGTGTACACACACAAATACATAGAAAAGTACAGTTCAGAATGCTCACGGCAAATTGTGATCTTCTTCCGAGGAAATGAAATATGAAGCGAGCTTCAACGCATTTTTACTGATTTCAATGAATCCTGGGCTTAGACGACTATTAAACATTCTAGTGAGATTGATTTCAGGATAAAATTATATTTGGATTCGATGTCTTACCCAACCAAAACTTCGAGAAAGGTCATTTCCGGTGCCAAGCGGAATAACTCCAACGGGAGGAACTGTGTTAGTTAATAGCTCTCGAAGAGCTCCTACACTAGAAAGACACCATCCAACGGTCCCGTCCCCACCTGCCACCTGAAGGTAGGTTTACGACTTTATTCAGTTCATTTATCTTCGTTTGTAGCGTGTGCAAACATCAACATAACACACTAGACTAATGGTGCTCATCGATAACTGTAACTCTTTCCAAAGAAGAAGAGGTACTGTGAAACCAAACATTACACCTTCCCAGAAACGCACACATAGGAGTGGTGATGAGACGTACGAGAATACGAAGATTTTCCACCGTCTTTCGAGCGCACTCGTCTCCTGATTTAGCCATTTGGTCCAGGCACCCAACTCCATATCGGAGAACAGCCATCGGCGAGTGCTTTGATAGATCATAGGTCTGAAATATTGCAGGTAAATAATTAGCCACAGATAACTTGCAATGATGCAAAGCCTCTGTCTTCATGCAACACAAGGTTAAAGACACATTGAAAGAAACTATCTCTTCAGAATTTGGAAAAGATATAAAATTATGAATGATATAAGTGTAGAAAGTTCTTTTAGATTTAAGATGATTTAAAAGTAGAAATAAAAATAAAAATAAAAATCTAAATAATGGATTAGAATCCCACTTAAATTGAACCACTAAGTTTCTTCATACACACACGTGCTACATGGCCCTATAACTCATTTTCAATCTATCATCAACGAGACTTAAAATCAAAGAAAAAAACGCGACAAAGCGCAAGATGAGGGAGATTCTGACCTGGTTGGGACTGATGAGTTCTTCAAAGTGTTTCATAAGCTCAGGGCCAAGTCGACCCCCACTTTTAGAGTTTATGAATACTAGAATCGGGCACGCGGGTGCGGCTATCTTTTCACCAAGAGGGGGACCTTTAGGAACCGCAGTTCCTTCAGATTGAACTGCGTTAGCCATATCCTCGCTTAGATACTTAGGTATAACTACAATTCCACGGAGATCATCGTCGGTTGGGCCACGCCATTTTTTGGTGAGTATTGTGTTGAGCTTGCTGATGAACACACCTAAAATCAACATATCCAATTAAATTACAAGAATAACCCTTTCTTGCGGAGCGGTTCAACACAAGATGCACACAAATCAGCGACAACAGTGACTTACTAACTCCACCTTGAAACCAAACCTAATTGAACTCATATATTGAAAGACAATGCAAGTAAACATTTTCGACGCAAGGCCTTCGCACAAGACCTCCATGTGGAACACAATCACAAACGATAGAGAGAATGCTGAAACTCCGGATGAACCATTTTGACCAATTCCTAGCTGTAAGTTTAAACAGAGGGAGTTACGGTGAACCTAGATACTGAGTGCACTAGAGCAAAAATTAGCAGCTGTATGCTAATCAATACCTGGTTTAGAAGTTTCAGTAGAAAGAGAAATCGGCGCCCCCTTCTCAGCCTCGACATTAGAGAATGCAAAACTCTCGGGTGCAATCACTATTTGATTCTGCGAGGTTGCGCTACTCACTCCCTTGTCGTCTATCGTGGCTGTTTCATGTTCGATAACCTTTTCCACAACTTCTTTCCCAATTCCTCCACTAACGGTAGCCACATTGCTTGCATCAGAGGACTTCTCAGGTTTTGATGAATCTTCATCATTTCAAACCCAATCACACAATGTCAGAGTTATGACTTCTAACTTAAATTAAAAATTGGCGTTCCATTATTCGGACTTACTCATTTACATGCTAGGCTCAAACACCGGACGAGAAAACATATGCAACGAAAACGAATTAATCAATCTCCTAAGGGAAAGTGAGACCCCGAGTATGTAATCATACCTGCACTATAGATATTGGGTGAATCTGTTTGAAGAGTGTCGGATATTTCAGATGGTGAACTAACCACAGCTGATTCTGCTGAAAGAAGAGCTTCATCGCTCGTCAGCTGGGCAGGTTGGGCAACATCCCGTTTTGATTGCTCTACAACTGGCTGAGGCTCTTTATGGGTTCCTGATGATGGAGCCGCATCACTGTGGCTAGGAGCGCCTTCAACTGCTGGAAAACTAACAGCACTAACCTTATCTAACCCTATAGGCGAAACTAAAGGAGCAGATGGCTTGTTCTTTGTCATAAACGACTCTACCAATTCATGTCCCGGGATCTTCTTAAGAGCGACGTGAGGCTCGTGGGACATTTCACGAGTTTGTGGCGTTTGAGGTGGTCCACCAAATGAGAAGGAATTCACACCACCCAGAGCAGGTGATTGGTCTGGCAGGGCACTAGGAGATGAGGGTACAGCTTCAGCAGAGTGCTTTTCGACAAGGTTGGCAATGGGAGAAGTGTGATGTTTCGGTTCTTGATTCGCTCCCCCTTCATGACCTTCAACCGTAGTAGGAGTACTAAAATCATTAGTTCCAGGACCAGAAGCCTGGGTTTCAGAGCCTTTGGAGATTTTATGATTAACTGCAGGGGTTATAAAGCTCAATCCTTCCGGCCGAGTGACCTTGGGTGTTTCCTGCACCTCCTGGGAATGCGAAAGCCATGAGGGCTCGAAGCCTTCAAAAGTGTCGGAATATCTTGGGGCATGATGACTTTCGAAGACATGTGTATCGCCTAGGGAAGCAAATGATGGAGAATATCCAGGAGCCGCAAGAAAAGTGCCCGACATGCTGCCGTTCCTCTCGTGCCTACCAGCGCTGCCGTCCTTGGAGTTCCCATTTGTTGCTCCACTGGGATGCAAACGCACGGCTCCTTTCTCCGAGAGAGGTATCGCACCACCAGGTTCCTTAACCCCTAAATCTTTTGACGCACCAATTCCCTCATTGTCCACCCACGCTGGAGGATCCCCGGCCATCACAGCAGCGAAATTTTCCTCCGAATTCATTTCCCGAAAAACCCTGAACGCAAAGACATCTCCCAAAAATATATTAATCTAAGGAAAACAAATAATAAAAGAAAGAAAAGAAAACACATGGCGCAAAGACGACCACTCAAGAGTCACCCCAATCGCTCCACCTCATCACGACCTAGTCCTGGTCTAAAAACTATCCAGGACGACTAGTCGTTCCAAAACCATAACTAATTGTTTGACCTTCCACAAACGCATGCGTTTTCACCCTCAAAATGAGCACATCCGCAATGTAATTCATTTTTAAGCAATAAAAACAAAACAAATAATCAAAGAACATCGAGCTCCACTATGAAGACCTTGTGCAAAAGACCTGCCGCAGCGATAATAATACTCGCTTCCGATTACTTGTGCAAAATCGGTTTCGCCCCCTATCTCTGACTCTTTCTCTGTCTGTGTGTTACCGCAAGGGTCAATCACCAACTACAAAAAACAGCGAAAACTCTTCACGAGTAGCCAAACACTTCAACGGGCGCAACCAACATCGCCCCAATGCAGATCTCCTCAACAAACTCGTGCAATTAAAAACCATCACATCCCTTATGACACTCCCCACCTCGAAAAAAATCCAAATAATTGCTTCCGAAACGGACAGTGGCAACCACACAAGCTCTTCCACCTATATCCACATCGAAGAGAGGCTTCTGTCACAGACAGCAAAGGAAAACACACTCTCTGCTGCAGGGGGGAGGGAACAAAAACCAAGCAGAGGGGCAGAGAGCAGCAGCGTCACTGGCTCTCATCATTCCCACACTCCCTCTCTGGCAGAATAGGTAAGCTAACTTACTGCCCCATAATAGTAAATAAAAAACACCTCGAAAGTACCTCTCCTACTCAATCATACACAACGGCCAGCGACCAGCATACCGTCAAAGTACCTAAATGCAGCAGTATTCAATGCACCCGGCACCCCCTCTTCCTCTTCCTCTCGCCCCAACTGCAATTCCGTGGCAACAACTTACGACTCGCGTTCATTTGTTCGTCCGTCAGTCCGTCCGTCCGCAAGAGCTCTCTCAGTCTCTCTGTGTTCTTCTTCTTCTTCTCTGCCTCGGTTAGTATCATTCACTCACTCACTCTCTCGCTCTCTCTCTCACTCTCCCCGATTCCCCGAGGCCACTCATGAAAGCATCGCCAGGAAGCACGCAGGGGCGCATATTGGTGGACTGGGCCTCTGATCAACAGGGCTCGATGACTGACTGACTGAATGACCGACTGTCCAGCGAGCAAGCGAGCGAGGAGGGCAATTGCGACCGAGAGGGGCTCCCGGGACATCGGCTACAGTGTCGGCTTTACAGCGGAAGGAGGAAGAGGGAGCCTATGTGTGTTCGCAGTCCCCTGCCACGTCGGATTCTTCTAGAGGGCGCAGTTTTAGAGGTGTGCGCCACGTCGGCGCCGCGACCGCGGTTGCAAGGGGTCGCTGGATTGCTGTTCCACGGAAATGGAAACAGTTCAATTGAAGGCCGCCTGGGTGTGAAGAGTTGTCGTCATTTGCCCACATGTATAGGAATATGTTTGAAGAATTGATGATTAAAATAACATAATGGTATTTGTGACATTGAAATTCAAGCATATATATATATATATATATATATATATACATGCACATATACACATGTACACACAAAGTATCATCTCTACTAAGCAATGGAATTAGATTACATCCTAGGATAGAACTTGTGGAAATTCACAACTTAGTACGGGATAACTTAGCACCATAGAACCATATCAATTCTATTGTTTTCCAGTAACTTTACAAAGGTTGTAACTTAGCACTAGATAATATAGTAGTTGAAATACATTATGTATACACACACATGTAGAGAGAGAGAATTGATAAAGCCACACCTCAATGTTGTTAAAGCCACACCCCCCCCCTTGCTATCTCATTATTGATTCTATCCATTCTTTGTCTTTGTTCCTTGTTTCTAATTTCATATCTCTTGTTCCAAGCCCATGTTCTCCGTTTTAGCCCATCATGAATCACCTTATTGAAGGGGTTTTTCGAAATGAATATTTTGGATGTTAATTGAGGAAAACCAATTAGATCATGTACAAGTACTGCCTTGCTAAAGGGATGTCGCCTTTTACTCACTATCACAATCCCTTACGAATATATATGTAGCATACATTTCACTCACTATCATGAATAAACTTGTCAATCATGTTGGTTATCCATGATTTGTGAATCAATATATGTTGTGTGTGGACCAACAAATGACATTTGTTCAATTTCATGGCTAGTAGCACCATGACTCACTTCTAAAACCTATAATAATCTAGCAACAATATTGGTGCTCGAATGGTTACAATTTCTATGCTAGTACCATCAAGCCACTTGGCATTTGACAAGAAAGTCCAAAGCATGTTACAATCATCTATTACACAATTTGGAAATAGCAACAAGGGATTAGAATCCATATTTTTGAGAATAGAAAATTTTGAATAGCAAGAAGAAGGGAATATGGCAAATGAATACAAAAATTTTGTATTTTGCTTAAATGATATTTTTTAGAATTATCAATAGTATATATTTAAAAAAAATATGTATATATGTATATATATATATATATATATATATATAATTTTAAAAAGTAGTAGCACCATCATGTATAATATAAAAAAACTTAAGGCTTGGAATTTAGCCTTATCATTAGATGTAATAAAAGAATTTACAATGCCAAAGATAATGGATTAAAACAAATAAAATCTTAAATTAAATTTTTTATTTATAAATAAATATATATAAAATCTCTTATATAATGAGTTATTTATACATCAAAAATAACTAAGTTTTGTAGAACTTAAAGTGAATAAAAATTAAGATTATATCATTATTTTATAAAAATAATTATAATTTTATATCATTCAAAAATATAGTTTATACCTAAATTTATATATCATGTCTTTAATAATAATATATTTAAATTTGAATACTTTGAAGGCTTATATATGCATGTATTGTAAAATATAGAAACATTATTGATATATCTGGTTATATAAAAAATATATTTTATCAATTAATTTGAAGTTTTAATTTCTGATTTCCGAAGCCAAATATGCTTTTTAAAATTATTTATCATTAATAAAAAATTATTAAAATATATAATTTTTTTAAGTAATTAAAAAAAATTAAATATATGAAAACTCAAATTATAATTTAAAAAATTAGGATTATTACCAAAGTAATACCATTTTTAATATCAAGTCAATCTTTTTATTATTATATTAAATTTATCTATTAAAAAAACCTCAATATTTTTGAAGATATAATTTTTTTTGAAATAATAATAAAAATAAAATAATTTAACTTTAATTTTTTTTATTATTAATATATATATATATATATATATATATATTCAATGCACTTTTGACTTCTCTATAAAATCATATTTCTCTTTTACTTTTTATACAAAATGGTTATAAGAAAAAAATTGCTATTCTAATTTTAATATTTACATTTCATAGTTTCAATAGCCTTACAATACTAATATTGATTATTCTTATTCTTACAATAGTAATATTGATTTAGGATTTTTCTCGGCTATGGTGATTTAGCCATTTAATAAAGTTTAGGATTTTTTCTACATACTTGTACTCTTGGATTCTTTATTTTAGTGTTAGAGATAGCTTGACTAAATTGTATTTAGATTCTTATAATTAAACTTGAAAATATTAGATTTAAATTTTTTTAGATAAAATATTAAATTTATTACTTACAAGCCAATTTGGACTTTATTTCTTTTGCTATAATAAAATAAATACTCTTTTTTTGTTTTAGTTAAAAAATTGATATATCTTTATTCAATCTTGTAATCTTGTTATTTATTGATTAGCTAGTTAAAATAAATGATTTGAATTGTTTCCAAGTTAGATGTCATCTCAAGAGTAAAAGCATATTTAGGATCTTTTTAATTCCTAAATGATTATATTTTTTAGCTTAGTATAATTATGTGTAAAAAAATTCAACTGTTATTATTTTATTATTTTATTATTCTTTTTTTTTTGTAAAAATCTCATGCTACATTTGTTATGAGTGTTGTTTAAAATCTCTTATTAAATTTTAAGTTATTATTTTTGTTTCTTTTTGTCTTATATTAGCAATATATATGGTGTTATTTTTCTTTCTTTCTTTCTTTCTTGTTTGCAAATTAAATGTTGTTATTAATTTTTTAAATCAAGTTTAGTATACTTATCAAACAACAGTATATATATATATATATATATATATATATAGAGAGAGAGAGAGAGAGAGAGAGAGAGAGAGAATAATTTTATTTTTTTATAAATTGAAGTATTTTTTATTTTAAAAAAATCAAAATGTTTATTTAAAAATAAATATTAATATATTTAATTATTCATAAAAATGAAATATATATATATATTTTAAAAATAATAATATCTAAAAGCTATTCTTTTTTAACTATTATTAATTCATAATAATCAATTTTACTCTCCATCAACAAACATCTTTTAGTATACAAATAAATATTCTTTTAAAATCATTTGAACAAACATGACCAATTTGAAAATAATTCTAGCAAATATATGTATTAGATCATATTATAAGATATGAAATAAGAATATTTTCTAAAAATATCCATAGATGTGGATATTATTGAAATATCTGAATTTATTTCCTAATTTACCACAATTTAGACAATTATTACCAATAAAATATAAAAAAGATAGAAAAATAAATAAAAAGATATAAAAATAAAATTTTAAATTTTAAATTTTAAATATGATTTCAATATGGATAAAATTAATATTTATTTATTTAATAAATAAATAAAAATAATTATAAAAATATAAAAAATATAGTATTTAATATATATATATATAATGTTTTTTTAGTAAAGGCTTCATAAAAAATAAAGTAAAACATTAATTATATGAGATACAATTCTTATTCGTTTTGATTTTTTGTATAAATGATTTTATTATCTTAACAAATAACATAAATCAAATTGAATAGATAGAATATAAAATTAAAAAAGATTATAACATAAGTAATATTGTAAGTTTTAAAAAATTATCTTAGATTCTAATATTTTAGAGATTTACTAAACATAATATTACTATGAGTCAATATAAGTGTATTAAACAAATATTAAAATAATTTAATTTAAAAATATATAATTACAAATGATAAAATAATAAATTCAACTTTGATAAAAAATCTTAGAGAGTGAATTTTTATATTTAAAAGATAAATTAAAAGAAATATTATACACAACAACAAAACACATAGTTAGATATGTTTATTTGCTCAACATTTATATATTTATTTATTTTATAATATTATAGAATTTTTCATGTTGAATTTAGATTATTTTATATACTTTCATATTTTTTATGTTTATTTAAAAGTCCCTATCTTTTAGATTTTTGTCAAAACCATCTTAGAAAATCATAAAAAAATTGAATCGATTTTTAACCATGTCTTATAATTTGCTACTCATTTCAATAAAACTAATATTTTTTTTTGAAGATAAATTTTATATACAAAATTTATATATTATATTTTCTTATTTATTTCAAGCTTATTTTAAAAAATAATTGTAATGTTCAACGGTATTTCAGAGAAATCAAACCTTTAAGCAATTTTACTACATGACATTACAATACTTCTATGTATGTTCTGTCTAACAATTAAATATATATATATATATATATATATATAAAATAATGGTTGCAATAAAATAACCACCTCAATAGTATCCAAATCTATTTTTTCCATATCAAATATTATCTTTTTGATATTTCATGTTCTTTGTAATTATTTAAGTATTTCATAAAAAGAGCTATTCATGTAATGTTCACCAAACATTGTAGCTTCACAATACTTTGTTATATTTTCTGTCCTATCTAATAGAATGGGAAAGACACAAGGAAGAAGTTGATTAAACAAATTAAAGAAAAAAGGTTTGCAATCTACAAAATTAGAGTTCTTCACAAAATTAGAGTTCATTACAAAAAGATATAGTAGATATTTTCTAAATAAATAGATTCTATTGAAGCCTTTGTCCTTGAAAACCCCTGTAAGAAGCATTGCCCTTTAAATCTACCTGTTGACTAACTAGCACAGCCACTGCAGGTGAAGTTGCTGCCCTCCTTAACTCCCTCCACATTTGTTGCAAGTATTAATTACACTCTACACAATAACACTATGAAACCTCAACAACTTCTTTTCAATTTATGTTAAATTATTCTCACTAATATCCAATTAATTCTTCAAATCATGGTCCTACCTAATACTTCAATATATTATTGATAAAAATAGTCAAATATCTTTAAATAATGAAATAATATATGATTTTTATTTTAAACTTCTAATTATGGTTGTTTTAGACTTCTTGGTTATATAATATTACTAAATTTAGATATATTTTATTTATTTATAATAATATTTATCTATAAATAAAAAGGATTAGTAAAAATGAAAATAAATGTTACATTGATATCTTTAAGGTTACTATGTTACATCAATATCTTTAAAATTGCATATAGTTTTATTTTTTTATAATTTCTACTATAAATATTCCTAAAAGAAATTGATAGCTTAATGTAAAATAAGAGAAGACATAAAAATTTATTTTATTTCATAACTCAATAATTTAATAGTTTTATTTTATGGTTATTTTTATTTGATAACTACAAGAGAGTTTTATCATATTTTTCTAATGAAATCTATAGCTACAAGTTCTATAGTAAATATTTAAAGTTCTATCTTAATTTATA